TAAAGGATTTAAAAAGGAGAAATGGAAAAGCACCAAGAAGGGTCAAGGCAGAAAAAGCGCCGGGAACCTGCAGAGCTTTTTTTTTTTTTTAGGCAAAGAACACATCTCAGGGAGCAGATGTGGAAAATGGATCAGACCCTGACAACGGATGTGAAATATTGACCCAGTGAAAAGAGCCTGGTGTTTGCACAGGCCAAATGGGTGCAGCAGCTTCCGAGGGAGGTGCCGTAGGACATGCCCTAGGTCTAGAGGTCGCCCTCCACACATGCTTGCTCTCCACAGCTCCGTCTCCCTAACTGGTAACAGAGCCTCAGGGAGGTTTTAGGGAAGAAAGTTTGTGTTGGAAATCAAGGCAGGCGTGTGCCTGCACGCGCGCGCGCGCGCGCGCGCGCACATACACACACACTCACACTCACTCTCTGTTTTTTCTCTGAGGGTGCTGGGGATTTGTATATTCTTTTTTTTTTTAAGCTCACCTATTTTTTTTTTCTTTTGTCATTTTCCCCCTTGATATAACTAAATTTTTTCTACTTTATGTAATTCAAATGTTCATTATTGAGTATAAATTAGTTTTTAAAAATAAACTAATTTTTCTACAATAACTTCCTAAAACCAGATATTTTTCCTTTGTAGCCCTACCCTGCTAGTTTTGACACTACTAACCTCATTTTCTGAAGTTATTTTCTTGCTTGGCTTTCTGAATGCCATTTTAAAAAAAATTTTATGTTTATTTATTTTTATGTGTGCCTCATGCATGTGAGGCAAGCGCTCTACCATTGAGCTATAACCCCAGCCCATTTTTTTGTTTTGCTTTGTTTTCCCCTGCCCCATGGCTTCAGCTATTCCACTTTGTCAATGAAACTTGCAGCTCCAGACCAGCCCTTTGCTGAAACATTTATCCAGTTGCCTACTATCCCATCCCTGCAATTCCCTCAAATTCGACATGCTGCAAACTTCTAAAATCTCTTCCCATTGTGTCTACCTTGGTTGCCTTAGTCAGAATCCTAGTCTTATCTTTTTTTTCTTTTCTTTTTCTTTCTTTTTTTTTTTTTTTGAGTGGGATTCTTGCTGAGTTGACCAGGTAGTCTCAAACTCTTAGGCCCAACTGATCCTCTTGCATAAGCTTCCTGAGCTTCCTGAGAGCTGTGATTACAGGTGCATGCCACCATGCCCAGTTAGTAATCATCTATTCTTCCCTACCTCTCTGTAGTGGGCTGAATGGTGGTCCCCAAAAAGTGATATCCCAGTCTTAATCTTCAGAACCTGTAATCATTACCTTATGTGGCTAAAGAGTATTATCTAAGAGTACATGTCAAGCCAGGCATGGTGGTGCAAGCCTGTAATCTCAGCAATTGGAAAGGCTGAGACAGGAGGATCATAAATTAGAAGACATCCTGGGCAACCTAGTGACTCCATCTCAAAACAAAAAATAAAAAGGGCTGGGGATATAGCTCAGTGGTAGAGTGCTTCTGGGTTCAATCCCCACTACTGGGGGTGACAGGGAAGAGTATACATCCCCATACATCTGCCATCCCCATACTGGAATTGAGCCCAAGGGGCACTCTACCACTGAGCTATATCCCCAGCCCTTTTTATTTTTTAGTTTGAAACTGGTTCTTGCTAAATTTGGTCTCAAACTTGCCATCCTTCTTCCTCAGGTTTCCAAGTAGCTGGGCTTACAGGCATGCACCACCACACTCAGGATCTTGAAGAAAAGCACTAATCCTGGATTACCCACATGATTATTACAGTCAGTGACAAGTGTCCTTTTAAGAGAGACCCAAGTAGGTGTCTTTGGTTGTAGCTCAGTGGCAGAGTGCTTGCCTGCCATGTGTGAGGCACTGGGTTCGATCCTCAGCACCATATAAAAATAAAGGTATTAAAAAAAAAACACCACAAAACAATTTTTTTAAAGAGAGACACACAAAAAGAAGGAAGCACACACCAAGAGGAGGTGGTAACATTCTGACCACAGAAGTAAATTTTGTATGATGTCACAAATTAGGGAATACCAAAGCCACCAAAAGAACAGGTTGTCCTGAATAGGAAGCCTTTCTTTCACTGTCCCCCACTAGGAATACCATACTCTGATCTCACAGTCACAACTCCCTCATCTCAACATGCTCTTTGAAGCAGTTTGAAGAGCACGCTTTTTTTTTTTTTAAAGATTTTTTTAAAGATGGACATAATATCTTTATTTTACTTATTTATATGTGGTGCTAAGGATCATACCCAGTGTCTCACATGTGAGGCAAGTGCTCTACCGCTGAGCTATAACCCCAGTCCCTGAATAGCATATTTTTAAATAAAATTTTTAAAATTTCAATTTTGAGATAATAGTAGATTCACATGAAATTGTAAAAAATGGTATACAGATCTCATGTATCCTTTACAGTTTTCCCCAATGGTAACATCTTCAAAAACTTGCCTATGATATCAAAACCAAGAGGTCAACATGGATACAATTCATAACTCTTACTCAGATTTCTCCAGTTTTACTTGTTCTTATTCATGTGTTTAGTTCTGTGCAATTTAATCACACATATAGGTTTGTGTAATGCAGATACAGAACAGTGCCATTTCCACAAGGATCCCTTGCACAGGCCTCCTATAACCTCTCTTCTTGGCTCATACTTACTGTTGGAAATAAAAAGTAAATGCTTTATTTCTAGAGTCCTGAAATTTCAAAAGTATTACATAAGTGGAATATGTGGTATGCAATTCTTAATGCTTGTTAAAGCATAATTCTCTGGAAATTTCAACCAAGCTCTAGCATGTATCAATAGTTCCTTTTTTTTTTTTTTTTTTTTTTACTGGTACTAGGGATTGAATCCAGGGCACTTAACCACAAAGCTACATCCCCGGCCTCTTTTTATTTTGATACAGGGTCTCCCTAAATTGCTTAGGGCCTCACTAAGTTGCTGAGTCTGGCTTTGAGCTCCTGATTCTCCTGCTTCAGCCTCCCAAGTCACTGGAATTACAGGTGTGCACCACCATGCCTGGCTCAATAGTTTCTTTTTATTGCTGAGTAGTATTCCATCCTGTACCTTTTTACACTGTTCTCTTCAATTTTCTTGACCTAAGAGGGGGCCGGTGTATACCTCCTAGCCACAGCTGACTGAATCACTGAGCATTGGTCCACTCTAGTTGGGCCAATGAGTCCCTTCCTCAGGGAATCTGGAATTGGATTGAGAGATTATCATTCTTTCAAAATCTGGCACTTTGGACAACAGATAGGGTTAACTTAAAAATCCAGAAACTGGCAGCAATCATTTACTTTATGTGGTCCAGGAGAAAGAGAAAGTTGGCTTACTGTAAAACAAAAGGAATCAAGAGGCCTAGAGGCAGGATGAGAGATGAAAGGGTGTGTTACCTAGTGCTCCAGCCCCCTAAAGCTGGGAATCTTGCAAGCTGGGATTCTGTACATTCCTTTATATCACCACCACCATCCTCCCCCAATCTGTCCCTTGTTCACCTGAGCTTCTTAGATATGACTCACTTAGACAAAGAGTCTCATTTAGGACAGAAATGGAGTATTTAAAATATTCTAGCCCTTAAAAGTCCTTTGTATTCTGGGTCTGCTTCCTTTTTTCCCTCTCCCTTTGCAGAGACCATCAGAGTATTCTTACCCTGTCTGCCACCTCTGTCCCTGCACTTCTTCCAAAGCATACTTCTGTAAGAAGGTATTATTAACTTAGGGTAAACCTATATAAAATTGAGGTCCCACAGCCCTTGTGTCCTCAGTTGGAGAATGACTTCCCTTATTTTTAGATTCTTAAATTACTTCAATGGTGGTTATCTCCTTTTCCCATTAGGAGACCCCTGAAACCTCAGATTCCCTCAGCAGTTGTAGAGTTCCCTAAGGGCAGAGAGAACGTCTTCATTAATCTTATAGATCTCTCAAGGGAAGAACTTTTTTTTTTTTTTTTTTTTTTTTAAATCCTGGTCTGATACTAGCTCTGCACACTGTGGGTGCTCAATAAATGTTGATTGACTGAGTAAACAATAAACTTAGCCCCATGTATTGTCATATTCTTTCTTTCCACAGGGAGAAAGTAATAACATTAGGCAGAGCAGGCTGGATCTCTTAATGTGATTACCTGGGATTTGTGGGCTGATGATTCCTTCCCCTAACTTTATTGGGTACATCCATCTCCACAGAATAGATATTCCTAAACAGAAACCACTAATGCTGCTGGCCAAATGGTAGGCTATCACTGATTGCCCTGGTCCTGTTAATCTTGATTCCTCTGCAACTGAAACTGAAGCCTGCTGCCAGCCCAAAATAGGGGAGGACCCAAGATGGTTGTGGCAGTGGTTATCCTGAACTAAGAGTAATAAGCCCAAGTTCAACGTGTTGCTGTGCATGTATAACCTTAGGGTTTTTTTTTTTTTTCAGGTGGGTACCAGGGACTGAACTCAGAGCACTCAACCACTGAGTCACATTCCCCAGCCCTATTTTGTATTTTATTTAGAGATAGGGTCTCACTGAATTGTTTAGTGCCTAGATTTTGATGAGGCTGGCTTTGAACTCACAATCCTCTTGCCTCAGGCTTCTGAGCTGCTGGGATTACAGGCGCATGCCAGCTCTTAGTAAGTTATTATTTATTTTTAAAAAATTTTTTAGTTGTTGATAGACCTTATTTATACATGGTGCCAAGAATTGAACCCAGTGCCTCACACACGCCAGGCAAATGCACTACCACTGAGCCCCAGCCCCAGCCACTTAAACAGGAAGCTTTGTTGTGTATCTGTATTTGCAGTGCTAGGGATCGAACCCAGGGCTTCATGCATGCCAGGCAGACACTCTACCACAGAGCCATATCCCCAGCCCAGTAAGTTATTTTTTAAAATTTAGAAATATAACAACTTGATGGGCTGGAGATGTTGCCAGAGGAGTACTTGCCTGGCATGCATGAGGCTCTGGGTTTGACCCCCACCACTCCACACACACACACACACACACACACACACACCAACAACTTGAGATATAATCCACATAACATAAAATACATCTATTTAAAATGTACAATTCAATGTTTTTTGGTATACTCAGAGTTGTCAATTTTACATTTCCTTTATTCCCAAAGAAAACTCCATACCCATTAGTAGTAATCACTCCCCATTTCCCCCTAACCCCAAGATACCATTAATCTATTTTGTTTCTATAGATTTGCCTATTCTGGACATTTCATATAAATTATACAATATGAAATCTTACATGACTGGCATTTTTTGCTTAGCTTGTTTTCAAGGTTCATTCATGTTGTAGTGTATATCTGTATTTCATTTCTTTTTATTGCTAAAGAATATTCCATTGTTTAAATACACCATATTCTATTCATCATTTTATCAGCCAATGGATATTTGAGTTTGTCTTTTGATACTGGGAACTAAACCTAGGGTTGCTCTACCACTGAAGTACATCCCCAGGCCTTTCTGAGATAGGGTCTTACTAAACTGCTGAGGGCCTTGCTAGGTTCACCTTCAACTTGTTATCCTCTTGCCTCAGCCTACGCTGTCATTGGGACTATAGGTATGCACCACAACGCCTGGCTTGTTTCCAATTTTGGCAAATTATTTCTCCATATTTCAATTTATTAATCAATAAAAATGAAAATTAATAGCTGCACGGCTAGGAAGATTATGAGAGGTACACAGGGAATATATGAAATACATTGTCAACTATAAATTATATGAATGTAAAGACATGAATAGTTATAAAATCAGCTGAGGAGGGCATGGGGGTCAGTATAACTTTCCTGAGTTTATGGGATATTCTTGGTTTACTTAGGGCAACTAGGTGAGTATCTCTTTGGGTTTCATCTCCAATAGGGTCCACTTTGCTACTTTCCTAGGAAATGAGCTGCACCTCTTTACCCTAACCTATTTCATCTATACTTGTTGCTAGGAGACCAGGTTAGATAATGCTTAGCTTAGTGTAACTCACTGCCATGGCAGAAAATCAAATCATATTTGAAATGTGACATTGTGGCAGTCACATTTCATCCCAGTTTTTAGCAAGACCAGAGAAAAGGGGTTAAAAGCTGTAGGTGTTCTTTAGGCCTAGGTTTACTAAATATGTTGCCAACTCTTTCTGATCTAGGCTAGCTTTCTTTTACCACTCTTTCACACTCACATGTGTCAAGGTGACTTTCCACTGTTCATCAAGTAAGTATGATGAGGGAATGCAAAAATATTATAATAGACTGGGGAACAATGAATTTGGAAGGAAAACCTGTTGCCATAATAACTAGAAAGATTTTTTTTTTAAAAATTAAGTTTAGGTATAAATACTATTTGCTCTCATACCCTCTTGCTGTTTTTACAGGTATTCCACAACTATAAAATGTGGGGGGGAGGGAGGACAGCAGAGGAAAGCGGGAAGGCTGGGATGGGCAGTGGATTATGTAAGAATGATTGTTTCCTTTACCACTACTAGCTGCCTGAAGCATAATTTCCCTTCACAGCCTTGGTAAGAGCAGCTGGGGATAATGAACAGTGGTTAAAGATGCTTTGTTTTACACCCAGCAAAAAGGATCATTATCACCTCAACCATTTTTTTTTTTTTTTCACCAAGCCTGTGGAAGGGCTCCTGCTGCTATTGATAATCATGGTAACCCTCAGGGTAGCAGGGGCAAAGGGTGGGTAATTCACCAGAAAATGATAATTCACTGATTTGGATTATGTGCACCACTGCTCCTCTCCATTCATGTGCTTAATTAAGAGCTGACTAGTACAAAATAAATGAAACTGCAATTCTTCACAGGAACTATCTGGGGAGCATCAGAAATTTTGCAGGGAGGAAGGGTATGCTCCAGTAAAACTCCTTAATTTCCATCTCCCCATTATATTTTTATTGTGGAGCTGGGGCTGGGTTCACATCACATCTGATTCTTAAGGAGACAAAAGGCTTATGAGTGCAATAGACTTCTTGCTGAAATGATGATACAAGGGAAGTGGCATAGCTTCACTTTCATTTTATCAAGGAGAAATAAAAGCAAGTAGCTGTGATTAGGACAATAGTTTGTCTAGGGCACAACTCCAATCATATCAGGAAAACCCCAGTAGGAATGCAGAGGTAGAGTTGGCTCAACCTTATGCATTACATCATGTTTCACATCATTCAAAAGTTTTTGTAAAAGTCTCTATGGTGACCAGCTGGTTGACTGCCTGGGAGTCATTTCCATTTGTTCAGTTCCCGAGGGGAGAGAAAATGGAATTGCTTTCTTATAGTTCAATTAGGCAAATCTGGATGGAGGGCATTGAGCTTAGTCCACAAAGGGTGCCAAAATCCACAATGCTTTTCAAAAAACACATGGAAAGTTACAGCAAAAAGGCAGAGCCCCGGATTTCTCAAACTGATGCTTATCACATCCCTCCCCACGGCAACATAGCTGCCAGGACACTCTCACTGAACAGTTAAAACAGGTGAAGAGAAATCATTTGTGGGGTTTTCCATTATCCTTTTGTTTAACTCAAAAACTTAAAAATAAGACTGTAAACTAAAGGTTTATTTTAAATTACCTAAATCCCTTAGTATTGAGGGGATTAACAATAGTAGCCTCATTATTTTGACATTCATATTCCAAACTCAACTGTTCAGAAAGTTGTAAACCTACAGTTTCCAACAACTCCTAACTAAAGAAAGACAATAATAAAGCAGGTATGGTGGTGCATGCCTGTAATCCCAGTGACTCAGGAGAACGAGGCAGAAGAATTCAAGTTCAAGGCCAGCGTGGGCAACTCAGCAAGAAACTGTTTCAAAATAAAAAGGGCTGGGGGCTTAGCTCAGTGGTAGAGCACCCCTGCATTCAATTCCAGTACCTAAAAGAAAGAGAAAAAAGGGCAACAATAAAAGTTATGTGCACAGGAAGATTAAAGAGCAGGAATGTCGATCAGTTATATAGATAGAAGTCTTTCTGAGACTGAAGTAGTATTTCCTGTCCATGTTTCAGGAACAAAATGTTTCTTTTGGGAGTTAAAAAAATCTCTAGCATTCAATTGGACATCTGAATTTTGGGTTAGTTTAATGCAATCAGTTGGAGAAAGAGGCCTGAGGAGGAGGCCCTCAGAGTTAGAACTAAAGACTGAGTACAAATATACTTGAGGCCTAACCTTGAATAGCAATGGGAAAACTTGGAAGACAATCACTTAGTAACAACTCTGGCAGATCAACTCAGGCAGGTCAACTCTATCCTGGCGCCCTTGTACTGAGGTCCCAAGGAAGAATGGGCACATAAGTGAGAGGCTGATACAGCTAGAGCTATGTGACTTAGGTAGTCACTCACAAGAATGGAGGCAGAAGCTCTTAACATCATCTTGTAGATAATGGACATGGCTCCACCTTTACAGGCAGCAGAGCTAAGTAAATCCCTAATGATTTCAGGTTAGGAAGGATCTTGACTCATTTAACTCATAGTAGAAGCTGTATGTTCTACTAAACTATGTACAGCATAGATCCAAAAGGCTTGGATGCTTAAAGAGAGTGGCAGAACACATGGTCTTCAAAGATCTGCTTCTCTCTTGCTGGGAAGGTCTTGTCACAAATTGGACAATTCAAACAAAGGGTCTGCATTTGCTGCTGCTCCAAGGTGTGATCACAGATTTCATCAGCAAAGTCTGATTTGCAGGTGAAGCATTTCTTGATGGAGAGCTGGGAGGAAGTACAAAGAGGTTAGCAAAAATGTTGGGTTCTGTGTGGCAGAGACAGTTCCATCTTGTTTTCCATGTATCCTCAGTGCCTTGCATAATGATTAGTAAAGATAGGGGTTCAAGAAATAGTGAATGCATGAACAGATTCAAATTTGGAGTTACTCCCTGGGGCTTTCTCTAATCCTAGAATTTAAAAGACCTAATACAGAGCTGGGGCTGGGGCTCAGTGGTAGAGCGCTTGCCTAGCATGTGTGAAGCTCTGGGGGTTCAATCTTTAGCACCACATAAAAAGATAAAGTAAAATAAAGGTATTGTGTTCATCTACAACAGAAAGAAAGAGGGAGGGAGGAAGGAAGGAAGGAAGGAAGGAAGGAAGGAAGGAAGGAAGGAAGGAAGGAAGGAAGGAAGGACCTAATACTGCTAAAGCAATCAACATAGCTCCAGACAAGAAGGTGCACTATATGTGCCTTATTTGGCTAGCTGCTTAGTTCACATCTTCCTAGTCACACTATCAAACTTAACTCACAGGAAGAGATCATGAACAGAATACTGATGGATGAAATGTGCTTTCTTTTCCCTGCCTCCACAGGCTGCCTTAGAACATACTGATCCTACTGACCTTTGGAGTTTGACCTCTGGAATTATCAAAATGAACCACTCTCCCAATGGTTCTTCCATGAATTGGAGCAGGAAGGGACATTTTCTTTTCCTTCTTTTTTTTTTTTTTTTTTGAGAGAGAGAGAGAGAAGTTTTTTTTTAAATATTTAGCTTTTTTTAGTTTTCGGCAGACACAACATCTTTTGTTTGTATGTGGTGCCTGAGAATCGAACACGGTCTGCACGCATGCCAGGCGAGCGCGCCACTGCTTGAGCCACATCCCCAGCCCAGGAAGGGACATTTTCTTAAGGATTTGATATGGACATTTCATGTATGGACATGGACATCTCAAATACTTACCAGGCTAGGGGCAGAACTTTCTTGAATACCTGAGGAGAATAAAAAAATTTCCTTCAATAAAATAAAAATCATCCCTTGATTCTCAGCTGTGTCCTACTAGTCATTTTCTGTAAAAACCCTGTTTCTTTTCTCCTCACTGCCTCTGATTCTTTCTTTCTCATATATACCATTTACTTCTGAAAGAGGGGATTTATATGAGGAAAAAATAATAAAATAATGGCATTTTCAATAACTATTTTTAATAATATGTTCATAACTATGTTATATAACTTATGTTATATAATCAGAAAAAACAATAAACCTATTTTCAGAGTGAGAAAAATGACATCTCTTTTTTTTTTGGTATTAGGGATTCACCCTTCTTTCCTCTATTTGCTAATGTGATCATCTATAGAGCACACAAGAAACTAATTTCATAGGCTATTATCACCTCTTGTAGGCAAGTATTCATTAAAAACTTCTTGTGGCAAGATGGAACCATCAATCTCTGTTTTGTCAGAATCCTGATTTCTACCTCAGCCAATAGAATGATGCCCTATCTTTATTCTGTGCTTGACAGCAACACCCACTTGAATTCTACTGCTTTACCTAGAGACTTTTCATTGAGATTCAAGGCACTGAGCAGAGAATCCAGGGCCTCAAATCCAACATAACCAAAACCTTTAACCTCTCTGGATTGCTGGGTTCACGGAGTAAACAAACTGCATGGATATTTAATCCTCTAAAGATTCCTTTAAGGGGCTGGACATAGTAGTGCACACCTATAATCCGAGCAACTCAGCAGGCTAAGGTGGGAGGAACTCAAGTTCCAGGCCAGTCTCTGCAACTTAATGAAACCCTGTCTCAGAATTAAAAATAAAAAGGGTTGGGGATATAGCTCAGTGGTATACAACCCTTGAGGGTTCAATCCCCAGCACTGAAAAAACAAAAAGATTCCTTGATGGAATCTTCTATCACATCATAGTGTTAGGTGCTGATTTAGGAAGACAGCTCTAGTAGATATTGGATTCCCAAGCAGCCAATGGAACATTGGGAAGGATAGAGCACTCAACTTAAGGGGCCTTATACACATCATCATCATCATTACTATGCCAACCAGTGGAAACATCTCTTGCCAAGCCATCTGTCTCATTAGCCCAGCTGACTGGTTTGGAGATACAGGTGCTTCCTTTACTAGTCCCCTCATCCCCAGCCAGAAAGTCTATTAGGGAAATAGCCTTTCATTTCTTTTTTGCTGAGGTTGCCATATTGGGGGAAGGAGAGATAATGCAAAGATGCTTAAAAATATCTTTAAACAAAAAATAAACCTGTTCTCTGTCTATTGCAAAGATTTGGTTGTGACTCTTAAGATAACATTACTGCTTTAAACTGTACAACAAAGTCTTGCATTGCTTTTGGAAACAAAGGAGAAAAGCTCCCTGTTTGGCAGCAGTATATTACCCTAAGTTCTTGAATAACTACTGGTTTTCACCCCTATTTCCTGTCCTACTATTCAGGAGTCTCAGTGGAGCATACTCCTGCTTCCCTTGGTTGGAACATCAATGAGCTGTCATAACTGCCAGTTTCTGGGCAGCATAACCTGCTTTTCCAAACCTTAATTAGCATCCTCTACTTTGTACGTGTATATCTTCTACACAAAGACATTTCTCTGATTTATACATTTGGAATATAGCCGCGGGACTCAATTTGTGTCTGCTGCCTCTAGGCGAATGATCTGATTTGCGTCTTCTCAATTCAGATTTATTTCTCAATTAACACTTCTTTTCTGGCAATCTTTCTATTGGGTCCTCAGTTTCTGCCCAGCAAGTCTTAACAATGAGATTGGTCTTAATTAGCATCTCAGGCGAAAAAAAAAAAAAAATTAGTGATGGGGATGCAGGCAAGGATTTTCCAGTTAGAATGGCAAAACTGTCTTACCAGAATATGGGTTTCCATAGACAAGACCTGGATTTTGTCCAGCACCTCCTTGATCTGAAGTAGGCACTTGACATGGCAAAGAGTCAAAATCCAGACCCATGTAACTCAGCAATCTGCTGTTCTCTTTCTTTAAGAGCTAATGATAGAGGATTTAAAACATATTGAAAGACAACAACAAAGAATGGTTAGCAGGAACCAGCTAGGATACATCCATTAAAGTAGTTCTCAATTAATAATGTGGAATTATGAAGCCAAATAACTAATAATCCAAAATTTTTCAGAAAGGGAACAAATAGCCTCAACAGTCCAAAGATCTAAACTTTTTATATATGAATTTAAATATATTTACTAAATTTCATTTATATTAATACCAAAAGAATTTTAAATCTCTAATGTATCCCAAAACTAAAAGAGAAGGTGCAAAAAAAGTCTTTGGACATATGAGGGTAGCAAGAGCTATATATTAAGATTGAAACTGTTATATTTTATTGGGAGCAGAATGTTTCTTTCAATTTCCTTTTTAGAACAATTTATTTACAAAATGTAAAATTCATCTGATATAATTTTCCCTTTTTCATATTTTATCCCATCATATGGATGGACCACCAGAGAGAATGAAAGGAAAGAAGGGAAGGTGGGAGAAAGGTAATGAGAAAGGCCAAGAATGAGAGAGGAGAGAACAAGATACAAGTGGCACAGATAGCATGTAGTTTTTAGAAAAAAGAAAATTAATAAATTTCCCTTAAAATCTTTTTAAATTTTTTTATTGTTGGTTGTTCAAAACATTACATAGTTCTTGATATATCATATTTCACACTTTGATTCAAGTGGGTTATGAACTCCCATTTTTACCCCGTATACAAATTGCAGAATCACATCAGTTACACATCCATTGATTTACATATTGCCATACTAGTGTCTGTTGTATTCTGCTGCCTTTCCTATCCTCTACTATCCCCCCTCCCCTCCCTTAAAATCTTAAGAGGGTTTTACTACGGTTCTGTACAAAGCTTCCAAATACCAGATCTTCCTCTTCTTCTGGATTGGTCAGTATATAATCTGACCCCTAACCATCAGACAAACCACAAAAACAGGATTTCAAATTCAAAGAATAATTATCTAAATCAAGAGAATGAAAATGACAAGACCAGAAATAGACCCCAAAGCTCATCTACTATCATTAAACACATTGGCATAAGTAATATAATCAAAACTTGAAATTATGAAGGAGGAATTAGTGTTTATGGAGTTTCAGTGTTACAAGATGAAAAGTTCTAGAGATATGTGATACAGTATGAACATACTTAAAATAGCACACTGAAATTATTACAACAGTACATTTTATGTTATATAGTTTTTTAGCCACAATTTTAAAAAGAAAAGAAAAAAAAGTAAAAGTAGTCACTTTGAGGCATAGCTCGAAAGGGTTACAAAAGTATAGAGATGTAGGAGGTAGACATGGGGCACATGCCTGTATTCCCAGGGACTCAGAGGATAGCAAGTTCAAGATTAGCCTCAGCAATCTAGTAAGACCCTATCTCAAAATAAACCTGGGGGTGTGGCTCAGTGGCACAGGGCTTCTTGCTTCAATCTCCTCCCCTCAAAAAAGATATAGGACTGCTGGAACTGTGGATCTAATAATAACAGTGAGAATACACAGGTCTTTGATACTGGGCATGGGAATGATTTCAAGTATCATCACTGTATTTGCTGTCACTGCAATCAGTGAATCAAATCAATCAATAATATTAACAACAGTGTTTAACACACAGAAGATAATCAATATTGGTTGGATCAGTTTATGAACTGATAAGTAAATAAATGCACAGCATCTGTAGGGGCCTACCATGGGACCTGCACTGGCACAGACAACCACTTCTCCTGGTTTGGTAACAGAGAAAAAGGAAAAAGTCATGCTTAAGGAAAAGGGTCCCCTCACTAATATAAATTTGATGTAGGATATCACACCCTCCCCACCAAAGACAATACTTATAACAATGATGAAGTTAAAAGCAGTAAGTTAGGTCTTCAACATGGCTGCTTCTTTCAAGATGACTATTGCCATGCCAAAAAAATTTCACCTTTAGAACAAAGAGATGTTTTCTGGTAGATAAGAAAACTAGATCTGGGACAGTTTCACCCACTGTTTATTCAACTTTCTGCATCTTTCAGCCACTGTTCTCTTTCCCCTTAAAACTCTGGATTTTCCTACCTTTTTCCAAATACTTACATCATTTTCTCTTTCCATTCTCTCTTTCTCTCTCTGCAGAACATCACATATAATCTTGTTCTCACTCAGTCTTCTTGACAGGTCAAAATTCTCATCCTGCCAATAATTTAAAAATTAGAGTTAGGATCACATATTGCAACTTGGGTCCCTGGTGGGAGACTGTAGAGGATCTGACCTTCCAAAGGGCATGGGACTGAGGTGGAGAAGAAGGGACTGCAGAGAAAGGTGTGGTACTATGAACAGGGTATTGACTTACAGAAGTCACTTAACCAAATGCTGGAAGGCCTAAACTGGCATTAGGATTGCCAGGGTTTATTTGGTATAGCTGTAAGTAAGCAACTAAAGAGAAAAAGTAAGCTTGGGGAAAAACCTTAAGACTGATATATCAGAATTAGGGTTAAAATGGGGCTTGTTTAATCCCACCCAACCATGAAACAATCCTGTTTATTTTGAATAAGTAAGTATCTCACTCCATGAAACCTGTAGCACTCAGGTTTAGGTTGGTGTGATTCCCCTCCCAGGGTGAGGAAAGGTATCTGGGCTCAAGTTCCACTGAGAAGGAGGAATACTGGAAGGCACTTGTCCCAGGTTGCAAGGAACCCAGACTGGGGTCTTGAGCTTCCCAGAATGACTGGTTGACCTAACTAGGTTCATACTTCAGTATTTTCCATCTCCTACATGCGTGTACCTCGCAAACACACTTAAGCTAATCCTACTAGTTGTGGTTTTTGTTCCAAGATTTTTTATTTGAATGCTGGTGCCCAAACTGCTGTGCGCTTCTAGCCGACCCTGAGGTAGTAATGCGAGAGGGGGCTACCCGATGACAGTGCTGACTGCAGGCTCCTTGCTCCCCATCCCCACTGGCTCCTGCTGGCTCTTCTGGTCCTGCTTCACTTCCTCAAAAGGCAAAAATAAGAAAGGACTGAGTCTGCACAAAACCGGCTCAATGGTTAAAAAATTTCCCTGAAACCCATGGCTAAGCTAAGGCCTATATTTCCAGGGATACCCCAGACTGGCTTCTGGTCTCACACTCCATCCCTCCCTTTCTAGTAGGAAAATTTTCTCCTTATCAAGGGTGTACATTTTGGGGACTTGGTCTAAGAATCACAAACCTTCAGACCCCTTGCTTTCCTGGGCCCCTTATCTCTGTCACCTACCAGTGCAGCAGCCCTGAGTTGCCTGATCTGTTTGTGGAGTCGTTGGCACTCTTTGTACTTCTCTAAGAAACAGGCTTTCCCGGCCTCTACCTTTGCCTTTAGGCGTTCCACCTCTTGTACTAACTGCTCCTCCACTGTTGTTTTCTTGTTCCTAGGCTCCTGAAGTATAAGACACATAGTCCTCACAGTTAGAGGCCTTTCTGGATGCATGAGAAATAAAGAATTGCAAATGAACAGGTGGAGAATACTTGGGTCTTGAAAAATATTCCATAAAAATCAAGGAAGGGGTTTGGGGTTGTGGCTTGGGGTACAGCGCTTGCTTAGCATGTGTGAGGCACTGGGTTCGATTCTCAGCACTGCATATAAATAAATAAAATAAAGGTCCAGTGACAACCAAAAAATATTAAACAAACAAACAAACACCACAAAGAAACCCAGACCTGTCATAGGGAGCTTCCAACTTTTGAATGACTATTGATTAAAACTAATTTCTTTAGAGACTATTAGGAACTGGGGAAGGGGGTCTGGAGGAAGTAAGAGAGAGGGAGAATCAGAGGGTAGAAGGTAAGATAAACATAATATATGCATGTGTAGAAACAACACAGTGATACTCATTAATTTGTACAATTAATACGTGCTAACAACATCAAAAAAAATAATAATAACTTCTTTGCCAAATCAGACATCACTAACTCAAATGTGCTTAAGGGACCAGGCAAGTGGGGAAATTAATTAAATAAATGAATGCAACCTATCAGTGAAGACTGAGCTGGGGTGTATCTCAGTGGTAGAACACATGCTTAGCATACACAAGATACTGGGTTCAATATCCAGCACCAAACAAGCAAACAAATAAAAAAATAGTGAAGCTGGGTGTGTTATTCCAGCTACTAGGATGGATGAAGCAGGACAATCACAAGTTTGAGGCTAGCCACTCCAACTTACTGAGTCCCTGTCTCAAAATTTAAAAAGGGCTGAGGATGTAGCCCAGTGGTGGAACACTTGCTTAGCATATGCCAGGCCATGGGTTCAATTTCCAGTACTGTAAAAAAAAAAAAACAAACAAACAACAACAACAACAAAAAAAACCCAGTGAAGACTATAGTCAAATGGAGTACACACAACCTATCTAAAGTGAGTGTAGCTCCTCAGCACCAGATGTTACAGCACTGCTGTAAAGGAACATGGACTCAGTTTTGATACTCTAAATTTTTCAAAAGAAGCTAGAAACAATTTTTTTTTTGTGTGTGTGAGGGGGTACTGGGGATTGAACTCAGGAGTTTAACCACTGAGCCATATCCCCAGCCCTTTTTAAAAAATATATTTATTTTTTAGTTATAGGTGGACACAATACCTTTATTTTATGTGGTGCTAAGGATCAAACCCAGTGTCTCTCACATGCCAGGCAAGCACTCTACCTCTGAGCCACAACCCCAGCCCCTTGCCAGTCCTTTTTATTTAAAAAAGAATTTTTTTTTAAGTTGTTTAGGGCCTTACTAAATTGCTGAGGCTAGCTTTGACTTACAATCCTCCTGCCTCAGCCTTCCAAGTTGCTGGAATTATAGACATTCACCTGGTAAAATGTAATTTTTTATGAGAAAAATTCTCAGATTATCTTCCAATTCTGGTAACTAATTCAATTTCTAAAAAGGTACCACCTAAGCCAAATAAAGCATTTTCCTTTCTTTTTACTTTATCTGTTTTTTAAGATAGGATCTTGCTTTGTTGCTCAGGCTGGTCTTGAACTTCTGGGCTCAAGTGATCCTCCCTCCTCAGCCTACTGTATCTTATGTATAGTAGGTACTCAAAAACTGACTGAATATACTTGACTTATAAATGATGTATATATGATGTGGGTTACATTGCAATAGTTGTCCCTCAAGTACGACTTCTCACTACCTTATAGCAATTCATAAATACAGCTTCCAGGTACCTGTCGGCATCATGAGGCTTCTTTTCCAACAATATATTACAGGAAATTATTAGTTAGTTATAAGAAATTATTAATCAGTCAGATTTTCACTATTATATTGCTATAACCCAGAATGACTTATAATTATAATAACTGCTATATATTAATTATAACAAAATTCACTTTTAATTGTTGGAGTTATCTGTTATAGAGCTATTTATAACCATTAATTTGTCTGCCCCACAATAACCCTACAGGAGGAAATAGGAGTTATTTTGTATGATTCCTAGCCCCAGGATCTATCTATAGTAGTAACTTGTCAGGATGTCTAATTCTCAATATCCTTTATCATTCATCACATGTTATACATGCCCACCTCTCCTAAACATTTTGTAAATGTCAGATTCTCTATCCTTTTGGTAGCAAGTAACCAAAAGTGAATGCCATTCTAATCTGTCTTATTTATCCTCTTCAATATCTGAAAATAGACCCTCATTCTTCTTTCTTCAGACTCCCTCCCACATAGTCATGCAAAGACAGACATGCCATTAACTCCTGTTGTTTCTTCGCTGCAGTAGTTTCTTTCTGCTTCATATCCTCCACTATCTGCTGGAGCTTCTTCTGTTGCTCCCTCTGCACAAAAAAACAGATTTTGATATTACTGACAAGAAAAAAAATACACACACATACACCCCCACATACTGGGGACGTGCCTGCTAAACTCATGAACAAGCAGAATACAGAGGGAAAGCTATCTCTTAGTTGTCTATAAAGTCATGAGATAAGCTTGCATAAGATGGCTTCTTCTGAGACATTTCTCATAATCAGAGATATTTATGTATGTGATAAAGAAAGAACAATGAATATTTTCTTATAAATGCCTAAAAATGCTATTTTCTTCCATGATTCTACCTGTTCAGTCAAACTGAAAAAGAGTTGGTCATTTTCCTTTTTCAGATGTTCCAACTGTTCTGCTTTATCTTGATCTCCCTGAACAAGCTTTTCCATTTCCTTCTCTTGAGTTGACAGCTGGGCCTAAAGCAAAAACAGTGAATACAACATCAAGATATAAAAGGAAAACTAACCAGGAACAATGCCAAAACTTTAATATGTAAAAACAAAGGAATATGTTTCCCTAGTAACTCTCAACTGCCAAAAAATCCCTTAGAACTCTTACTTTTCAGCTATACCTTAATTCCTAAGAATCTAAGACTCACCTAAGTGAAATAAAATGAACCACTCTTTACATTAAAGCCCTTCTTTAAGGCACAGATTCCTAAAAATGACAGCAGTTCTGCTATCTGCTTTACATTACAAGCTTTTGAGTAAGATTTTGCCTGAAAAGATTTTATGGCATGGATGGTGGAAAGAGACCCCCATCATTATATAATATACATGTATGAAAATGTGAATTTGGTGTCAACATACCTTATATACAAACAGAGATATGATAAATGGTGGTATAAAGGTGTATTAAGAATTGTATGCAAAAAAATAATAAGAGAGCTCATGTATAATGGCATGATTTGGTGTGAACATACTTTATATACAGAGTTACAAAAATTGTGCTGTGAATGGATAATTATGAATGTAATGCACTCCACTATTGTCATGTATGTAAGAAATAAATTTTAAAAAAGGAAAAAAAAAAAAAGATTTTATAGCTAAAATAAAAGGGTTTGAAAACCATGGTATAGATGACCGTCATCCATCTTAAGAGTTTATGATACAAAAAAATTGAATGAGCTACTCAATTACTTGTGGGCTATAACTATTTTAAAAATATATGTATGTGTGTGTGTGTGTGTGTGTGTGTGAGTCACCTGGTTCAAGAATGGAAAATACAGGGGCTGGGGATGTGGCTCAAACGGGAGTGCGCTCGCCTGGCATGAGTGCGGCCCAGGTTCGATCCTCAGCACCACATACAAAGATGTTGTTATGTCTGCCAAAAACTAAAAAATAAATATTAAAAAATTCTCTCTCTCTTAAAAAAAAAAGATATGAAGAGATGAAAAGCGGTCAAAACTGTATATTTAAAAAAAAAAAAAAAAAAGAATGGAAAATACATAACCTGAAACTTTAGTCTGATGCTTTGAAAGGTATGCCATTTGGCACTTACTATGATGAAATGCATCTTCCCAGGCCACCAGATTAGGGTGGTGGCAAAGCTAAGGAAACATCCTTTGGCAAAATTGTGACATTACCTACCTGAAGCTGATCCACTCTGATTCCCATCTTCTCATTTTCTGAGGACACTTTCTGGTTATGTTCTTTCAGTCTGTGGAGATGAAGATAACAAATTAAAATATTCACTGTTTCTAGGTTGGCTCCTTCTGGGTTTAAATGATTTAAACCTAGCTTGGCTCTAAGCCTGCAGTTGATCACATCTATCATTGTCAACAGACATGTTCTATAATAAATTCTAGAAATATGATCTGACTCTGCATAAGGGTGCCTATTAACACAGCAGTTCCTCCTATCTAAGAATTGTAAGACACACTCACTGAAGCAGCTCAGTTTCCCAACAGGTTTTCTGCTCTTTCACTTTCTGTTCCAATTTCTTATTGATACTCTGTAGAGTCTCCAGCTCCTCCTATAAATTGAAACATCATCAAAGGAACAGATAATTTCTAAGACACTTCATTATCTTAGGCAGCCAACAAATATTTATTGAGAACTTACTTATATTAAGCATAGCATGATACAGCAGTAAAGAAATATCCAAGTAAAGACATTTCCATATGTGGGGTTGGGGTTTGGCTCAGTGATAGAGTGTTCGCCTGGCATGCATGAGGCACTGGGTTCAATCCTCAGCACCACATAAAAAAAAAAAAAAAATGTGTCCACCTAAAAAAACTAAAGATACATAAATAAATTTTTTTTTTTAAAAAAAAGACATTTCCATATGAAAAAAAAATTTTTTTTTTTTGGTACTGGGATTGAACCCAGGGACGCTTAACCACTGAGTCACCTCCCCAGCTTTTATTTTTTATTTATTTATTTTTTTTAGAGACAGGCTTTTGTCGAGTTGCTCTTGAATTCATGAACTTCCTATCTCAGCCTCCCAAGCTGCTGGGATTATAGGAGTGTGCTACTTCACCCATGATGAAAATATTTTTAGTTATGTTTTTTCTATCTCTCTCTCTCCCTATAATTATGTATGTGTGTGTATATGTAGATTTGTACATTTTAATTTTTTTGTGTGTGTGGTGCTGAAGATCAAACTTAGGGCCTCACACATGTTAAGCAAGTGATCTACCACTGAGCTACATCCTCAGTTCTGTTCTTTCCAGCTTAAAAATGCATCTAGCTGGATGTGATGGCACATGCCTGTAATCCCAGCTACTGAGGAGGCTGAGGCAGGAGGATTATAAATTCTAGGCCTGCTTGGGCAACTTAGCCAGAACTTGCTCTAAAAAATAAAAAGGGTTGTGGGTACAGCTCAGTGATAAAGTGTCCTGGGTTTAATCTAGGTACTAAAACAAAACAAAACAAAAACCACCTTAAGGGCTGGGGTTGTAGCTCAGTGGTAGAGTGCTCGCCTAGCATGTGTGAGGCCTTGGGTTTGATCCTCAGAACCACATAAAAATAAATAAATAAAATAAAGGTATTGTGTCCCAACTACAACTAAAAAACAAACAAAACAAAACAAAACAAAAAACCTTAATTTTACATCCACAGGAGCTTATATTTATCCATTAATTCATTAGACAAATATTTATTAAGTGTCAGTTACACACTATAAACTGTTCTGCAGTGGGCAAAATAGGTAAAGTTGCTTTTCTTCTAAAATGGTGCTATCCTATAAATTAATGAGAGCCACATATATAATTAATAAATTTTAATAGTCACTAAAAAAATTAAAAAGAGGGCTGGAGTTGTAGCTCAGCGGTACAGCGCTTGCCTTATACGTCTGAGGCACTGTGTTCGATTCCCAGCACCACATATAAATAAGCAAATAAAATAAAGGTACATCAACAATTAAAAAAATTAAAAAGAAATAGATGAAACTAATTTTAATAATATATTAAGCCCAACATAATAAAATTTTGTTGACAATAAAAAGGAGATATTTTCTATTTTTTCATACAAAATCTTTGCAATTTGGTGTATATGTTATGATCACAACACTTCTCAATGCAGCTGAATTTCAAGTGTTTAACGGTCAAATGTGGCTAGCTACCACCATACTGGTCCTAGACATTTGTTTTTTCTTTCCTAGTTTCCTTTTGCACCGAAGTCAATCCCATACATCAACATTAACTTCCTACTTTTAGCTCCAAAGTTATTGCTTATAGCCTTTAGAGAAAATTTTCTTTTGCTTAGCTTCTAGCATTATCAACTGTCATCCCTTGCCTGCTGATTTGGAGGATGATTCAGAGGAGGAGAAATAGCAAAGAGTTTAAACAATCTATAACTTCACCTGTATACTAACTCTTCTCCCTCTTGATTTTTACATTGTAGTCAATCAAAGAAAACATTTCAAATTATAAATATGCAAAAGGCAGAAAAAGACTGAGTTTGAATCTGGGTTCCATCACTGATTATTTACCCCTCCTAAATCTCAGATTATGCATCTATAAAATTGGGATAATAGTGCCACAATTCCATAATGAGTAATCCTCAGGTTGAGGAAAGTTAATTTTCATTTTTATTATAAACAAAATAATCCATATAAAACTTTTAACAGTGCCTATTCAAAGATATTGGAATAAGGGATTCACAAGCAAGACAGAAAACAGTGCTAGGCAAGAGATACTATCCAATTCTGATCTCCATGTTCCAAGTTCACCTTTAACTAGCAGCCACACCTGCTTCCTTTGGAGCTCAGCCTGCATGCTTGAGTTCTGCTTCTGGAGGCTGGCACAGCTGTCCTTCAGTTCCTGGTTTTCTTTGCAAAGCTCCTCGTTGTGCTGTTCAATCTCTTCTACCTTTCCCTACAAAAGAACATTCCACAAACTATATTCTAGTAAAAAAATCCCCATATGTTGGGACGGTGAAGGTATGATTTCCACTCACTGGAATGACATTTATGTACCCCAATGGCAGCAGCTCCTCAGTATGTATGCAAGCAAAGGTATATGCAGATTCTTCTTGTAGATACATAGTATTATTTGTCTTTCTTAAAGGACTTGAGGCCAGGTACAGTGAGTATTTATTTATTTATTTATTTAGTGCCAGGGATTGAACTCAAAGGGTGCTTAACCACTGAGCCACATCCTTTCCCACCCCTTTCTATTTTGAGACAAAGTCTCACTAGGTTGCTTAGGACCTTGAGCTGAAGCTGGCTTCAAACCTGCCGTCCTCCTGCCTCGGTCTTCTTAACCACTGGGATTACATATGTGAATCACAATGCCCAGCTGGTATAGTTTTTTTTTTGGGGGGGGAGGCGGGGAGTACCAGATATTGAATTCAGGGGCACTTGACCACTGAGCCACATGCCCAGCCCTATGTTTTGTATTTTATTTAGAGACAGGGTCTCACTGAGTTGTTTAGGGCCTCACCATTGCTGAGGCTGGCCGAACTAGCGATCTTCCTGTCTTAGCCTCCCGAGCTGCTGGGATTACAGGCGTGTGCCACCACGCCTGACCCAGCTAGTCTTTTTTTTTGTCCTTCGGTACTAGGTATTGAACTCATGGACACTTAACCACTGAGCCACATCCCCAGCACTTTTTTATATTTTATTTTGATATAGAATCTCATTAAGTTGCTTTTGGCTTTGTTAAATTGCTGGGTCTAGTTTTGAACTTGAGATCCTCCAGTTTCAGCCTCCCGAGCCACTGGGATTACAGGTGTGCTCCGCAGCACCCAGCAGTTAGTATTTTAACTGGTTTTTCATAGCCTCCCTACTGTCTACCATAGTGCTAGATGAAAAATAAGTGTCCTGACAGGTGAGTAAGTTAATGAATCTAATAATCATGTATGATAGGCACTGGGTCAGAATTGAGAGATACAAAGAAGACTACTTGGTGCTTCTCTCCTCAGTGGAGCCTGTACATTTATAGTTGTCGTAGTACGCTCAGATGACAAAAATTAAGTACCTAGAAAAGTTAAGGGAATAACTGAATGCCAACTAAGTTACAAAAACTTCTAGAGATGGGAGAATTCACTTATTATTATGATTCTTTTTAATATTCCTTGGTGGGTTAAAGTGGGTACTATATAGGTTTTTCCCAACAGTATCTGTTAAATATTCTATAAAGCCTTTCAGGGTGCAGTGGTGCATGCCTATAATCCCACCAGTGTTGGGAGGCTGAGGCAGGAGGATCACAAATTCAAAGCCAGCCTAGCAACACAGTGAGACCCTGTCTCTAAACAAAATATTAAAAAAGGGCTGATGGGCTGAGGCCGTAGCTCTGTGGCAAAGCGCTTGCCTAGCACGCATGAGGCAATGGGTTTGATCCTCAGCACCACATAAAAATTAACAAATAAAATAAAGGCATTATGCCCATCCACAACTACAAAATATAAAAAAAAAAATTAAAAAAGGCTGGGTATGTGGTTTAGTGGTTAAGCTTCCCTGGGTTCAATGCCCCATACCCGCCCTCCATAATTCTATAAAGCCTATTGATTTGCCGGGTGTAGTGGCATATACCTATACTCCCAGTGGCTCAGGAGGCTAAGGCCGGGGGATCGCAAGTTCAAAGGCAGCCTCAGTAACTTAGCGGAGCTCTAAGCAACTTAGAAAGCTCCTTTCTCAAAATAAAAAAGGGCTGGGTGGTGGGGCTGGGGTTGTGGCTCAATTGTAGAGGGCTTGCCTCGCACATGTGAGGCACTGGGTTTGATCCTCAGCACCACATAAATATAAAGAAATAAAATAAAGGCATTGTGTCCATCTACAAAAAAAAAAAAAAAGAAGGCGGCTAGGGATGTGGCTCAGTGGTTAAGCACCCTTGGGTTCAATCCCTGGTCTGGATTAAAAAAAGATAAGGCCTTCCTGACTCAAATTCTACCCTATTTCAACTATTACTCTATATCAGAAAGGGTTTGAGATGATTACAGACCTTAGTAGTAACAACCAGGATGTCCTCCTCACTTTCTGGACGGAACTGGAAAGGGATACTTGCTCCCCGGACCACACCATCCTGATCCACATAACAGAACTGGTAATACTCATCATCCTTAGGCAGGTAATAAGCTGAAAACACAGCAATCCAAAATAAGGTCTATTCCAAATGTTTAAATCTAGAAGTAATTTTATTTGCCCTGGCAAGCTCAATTCAAGGGAATTAATTAGTCTTGGCTCCTGTTTTCAACACTTTGATCTAGTATTTTTCTCACCTTTAAATTGGACTTCCTGCTGTTTGGCTGATTTGTTGTTTATGTCACTAGGCAAAGCAACCCACATGAAGGTATAATATTCACGGGTTGTCTTCCATCCCACCTGCAATGACAAAGAGAGTCTCATTTGACACCTGACAGGGCTTGGAGGAAAAGTCTTACCTGGGCTATGTCATCTTAAAATGCACTTATATTTTACTTGTATATGTTAAAAATAAAATAGAATAAGTTTGTTATGACAAGATTCACGTTTTTTTTGACTATGACAACTTTATATGGAATAATGTTTAATAAAACTAAAAATTGAGATGCATACACAGAGTTCAAAATACCAGTTTAGAAGGATTAAAAACTGGCTCGTCAATGAACACCCAGGACATGAGCTCCAAATTCTATCTCCAAGTCAGACACAAAGCTGAGAATGATGGGGTAAAATGGTTCTGGGTCTATGAACCTAGATCCCACTATCTTCTTGCAAAGGTGCTCTTAGAACTTCTAAATCAGGGGCTGGGGATATAGCTCAGTTGGTAGAATGCTTGCCTAACATGCACAAGAACCTGGGTTCAATCCCCAGCACCACATAAACAAACACACACAAACAAACAAACAAACAAGCAACAACAACAAAGAAAACACTTCTAAATCAGAAAGCATTTCTAACTTGCTAACTTGCCCTCTCCATTTGTTTGTCCTCTACTGTGTTCAATTCAGCCTCTTCACATACCAACCTGTTATTTTTAAATGCATGCTAAAAAAATATGTGTGTTGGGGGTAGAGGGGCAAGAGTAAGAATGTTCTTAGATTATGAGACACCAGATGAGACAGTCTAGATCTATAAAGCTTTGTCTTCAGTGTTTTTCTTAATGCATGCTCAGTGAAAGCTTTTTGGTGATAAAGATAATAAAAATCTGGTAGTAATAATGGCTTCTTCTAGGTATTGAATACAATAAATTGTATGACATAAAGATATAGCAAAAGCTGGGCTGGAGATGTGGCTCAAGCGGTAGCGCGCTCGCCTGGCATGCGTGCGGCCCGGGTTCGATCCTCAGCACCACATACAAACAAAGATGTTGTGTCCGCCGAAAAAAGTCCAGTTCTTTCTCTTCCTCTCTAGAGTTTGGAATAAACAACTTGTGACTTGAAAATGATGATTAAAAAAAAAAAAAAAAAGATATAGCAAAAGATGCCTTAGAGCAGAAAGCTGGCTAAATATAAAATACTCTTACTAAACGTGAAAAGGTGTAAAAGATGGCTCAAAACTTATCTGGAAGATAAAAGGACACTCGAGAATAGAAAGAGAGCAATTGTATTTTTAAAGGGAGAACACTCAACAAATGAGAAGCAAAATCACTTTTATTGTCATATTTTGATCCTGCCTGTGCCCAGTGGGAAAAGAAATAACTAAAAATAAACTCCATTTTTATATATCAAGGAACTGGAACAAGGTTGAAAAGGCTATACCCAAAGCTCACCAGAAAATACTAGGGCATCTTTTAGAGTCTTGCTAATATACCCCGTTGCTGTAAACATCTCAGAGCCACTGCAGCCTGTGGTGGTACAGGAAGCAGGAATTTTATAGAATCCTCATTCACATCCTGGAGTTTCTTAATGCACTGTGACCGAAATATCATCAGGCAGGCCTAAGAATTATGGCTGCCTTGGAACAAGGAAACAATTTCTATCTACCTACAATTCCTATCTTTGGCTCTTCTACTTGCACAGGATGATTATATCCCCTCTGCCATTGTTTCTTAAAGGAAGGAGAGCTAACTCCTACCTCCTTCAGGCTCTATCACTGGTGGTAGCTGTGACTATAATTAGAAGAAGTAACACACTGCATGCATCAAAAAAAATTTATTGCGTGCCTACTTGGTGCCATGAACTACCAATATTAGGGGTGACAGTCTGATTAAAGCTATAGTGAAGGAACACTAGGAGAGCTTTAGAAGTGAGATATCAGGGTCAAAAATTTAAAAGAAACTCTTTGATTCTTTAATTCATCGCCTGTTATTCAAAGGAATTTAGCAGAATAGAGGAGAAAAAGCAGAGGCTTGGGAGTCAAAATAACTTGCTTTACCACTTTGTTACTTTGAGACCTGGAGAAAGTCACCATCTCTCAAGGATATTCATTTTACTCATCTGTGCATTAAAGACCACTCACCTCAAGAAGGCTCCTGTGTTGTAAGGATCAAATTAAAGCATACACAAAGGTCTAGTTCATAAGTGTGTCCTCAGGATGGTGCTCAAGTCAATAGCTTTATGGACAATAAATATTAGAATCCCTTCTTTGGATTAACCATTACTACTGTTTTTCTTCTGGTACTAGGGACTGAATCCAGAGGCACTTTACCACTGTACTAAGTCCCTAGTCCTTTTTATTTATTTTGAGACAGGGTCTTAATAAGTGGCCCAGGTTGGCCTTGAAATTGTGATCCTTCTACCTCAGCCTCCTAGCTGGGATTACAAACCTACACAACCTTGCCTGGCAACCATTACTTCTTTATTGAGGTAGGGTAACACATATGAAGTGCACAAAACATCCCAAATATAGATGTGTTTTTTAAAAATGCTTTTAAACATCTGGTTTTAAAAAGCATTAGAAGGGATGGGGAGGTGGCTCAACGATAAAAGTACTTTCCTAGCATGCACAAGGCCCTGGGTTCAATTCAAAGCACCAGGAAAAAGAACAACAACAACAACAATAAAAAAAAAAAAAAAAAAAAAACCCATAACCTGTGAATTATTTAGACCTGGCCTGCCTTAAGGAGAACCAGAGAGCTGGGCATGGTGCACACCTGTATTCCCATTGAGGCTGAGGCAGAAGGACTGCAAGTTCAAAGCCAGCCTCAGCAACTTAGCAAGGCTCTAGGTAACTTAGAGAGATCCTGCTTCAAAATAAAATAAAAAGGGATAGGGATATGGCTCAGTGGTAGTGTGCCCCTGGGTTCAATCCCCAACACTGAAAATAAATAAATTTAAACAGCGTAAGATTTTCATTTGGTTTATTATAAAGTCCTCATTGGCAGTTGCTGAATGCTTGGGGAATGAAATCAGCCTAAGAAATATAACCATGTTGCAACAACAACAAAAAAGAAATTGTATGTTACATTAACAAGGCTAATAATTAAATCATTCTTTTTTTTAAATTATCTATACCTGCACCATCCCATAACAACTACTAATGACAAAAGGATGTTTAAATTTAATTAATTTACATTAATTAAAATTTAAAAAGTTAAAATCCAATTAGTCACACTAGCCACATTTTTTTTTTTTTAAATATTTATTTATTTATTTTTCGGTGGACACAACATCTTTGTTTGTATGTGGTGCTGAGGATCGAACCCGGGCCGCACGCATGCCAGGCGAGCGCGCTACCACTTGAGCCACATCCCCAGCCCCACACTAGCCACATTTTAAATGCTTAATAGCCACATGTGGCTAGCAGCTACTGTAATGAATAACAAAGATACTGCAGAAAGTTCTATTAGATAACACTGCTCTGTATGCTTTGTTATATATGGAAAAGAAAAACAATAGCTACTACCTTCTTTCCAAGACAAAAAACACTATAGAGTGTCCATTTTCTGTGTTGGAATACCTCTTAGTCTGATGACAATGTCCTGTTGGTTGTTTACTATCTCTATCTCCAAACATCAGTCTTGTCTTGGTCTTTCAAACAATTAAGAAAAAGGAATTCACTGAGGGATGTAAATAAGCCATAGTTCCTTCACACTACAGTAAAAAATGGTGTTTGATTTCAAGATGAACAGCATCGGCAAACAGGCACATAGTAAAATGTCAAATCAAAAGTCACTGATGTTGGGAGTTAGTAATGTAAATTACTTAAATTTGACTTTTATCTCCTATCTCTGGAAATTGGAAGATTTATTATTATGGGGAATATACATATATATGTATGTGTACGTGTGTATGAGAGACACACACATACAGACATAAGAGATAGAGAAAGCAGGGGAAGGTGATATATAAAGACTAAGTTTATTAAAATCTTTAAAATTTCTATACTTGAACTGACAGGATGATTAGACACTGGAAGAGGTCACTGAAGGAGCTCATAAATTTTTGTCCTTGGAAGAAATAAGACACATTAATTCAGAAACAAATTTTTTTTTAAATATTCATTTTTAGTTTTAGGTGGACACAATATCTTTTTTTATTTTTACGTGGTGCTGAGAATCGAACCCAGTGCCTTATGCATGCTAGGCGAGCGTGTTACCACTTGAGCCACATTCCCAGCCCCAGGAACAAACTTTTTGGATGCAGGATTTCAAATCAGGTAATTTCTCAACCTTTTCATATTTTTAATATTCATATTAAAACAAATTAAACACTGTACCAAATAAGGGATGGATAAAGTAATATTTAAAGTCACAAAAATTATATAAGGGGTCACCCAAATCAATCAAATCATAGATGAATATTTCAAAATTGGATCATCTAAAAAGCATTTATATTTGGTCTTTGAAAGCATAATAAAACTTAAGGATTGTCGGGTTTCCTGTTATTTTTATTTTTTTGGTACCAGGGATTGAACCCAGGTGTATTTAATCACTGAGCCACATCCCCAGGTCTTTTTATTTTTTATTTTAAGAAAGGTCTCACTGAGTGGCTTAGGGCCTCACCAAGTCGCTGAGGATGGCTTTGAACTTGCAATCCTCTTGTCTCAGCCTCCTGAGTTGCTGGGATTACAGGCATGCACCATCACGCCTGGCTCCCATGTTATTTTTATTTTATTTATATTTATTTTTTAGTTATAGGTGGACACACAATCTTTTTATGTGGTACTGAGGATCGAACCCAGTGCCCCATGTGTGCTAGGCAAGCATGCTATCGTTGAGCTACAACCCCAGCCCAGCTCCTATGTTATTTTAATTTGAAATTAAAATTAAAGTTTGAGTTCCACAGCACACATTGGTATGTGATAAGGGAAATGATAAGGAATTTAATTTAGGATTTTAAAATTAGCCAGACATGATACATACGAGAGTCACACCCTCAGTAACAAAGATTCACCTCTAGTTCCCAATTACTTGGTACTAAATTAAACACTTACTCTAAAGATGCCAATCCAGTCCTTTCGACGGGGGATGAAATGCTCGGCGAAGGTATAATAGCATGTGATGTCCCCTCCAGGGACATAGAACTTCTCCACACTATTAAAGATGACCTGAGAGAAATGACAACGATCGAGCAAGACAGCTGATGTGGGGGGATCTTCTATTGTTTTTTCCATGATGGGTGTCCTGTTATGAGATACGGAATAGAGTAAGGCTCAGAAAGGTTTTCTGAAATGCCAGAGATTTCTGGGCTCTCACCCAAGAACATTCTGTTCAAGGCAATCAGAAAAAGCAAAATTCTGACAAGTAGTGAGACCACACAATTCGCTTTCTGTTTCACTTTGTACCATTTCTCATCCATAACTTCCCATACTTTTAAGAATTTTCAGAGAATATATCTTTGACCTCTTTACCATAAGCATCACCACACTCACATTCTCTCTCTTTTGATGTCTGGGATAGATCCCAGAGACACACTTTACAACTGAGCTACACCTCCAGCCCTTTTTATGTTTTGATGCAGGGTCTTGCTTAAAGTGGCCTTCAACTTCTGATCTTCCTGCCTCAGCTTCTAGAGTAGCTGAGATTTCAGGTATACACAACCCAAACCCTCGTATACTTTTTCTTTTTGTGTGTGGGGAATGGGTTTCCAGGGGCATTTTACCAATGAGGTACATCTCTAGCCCCTTTTAAATTTTGAAAAAGGGTCTCATAAAGTTGCTTAGGCCCTCACTAAACTGCTGAGGCTGGCCTCGAACATGGGATCCTCTTGTCTCAGCCTTCCAAGTCACTGAGATTACAGGTGTATTCTAGTTCTCTGCTTACAGGTAGTTGGTGGTAGTTGTTTCCTTTTTTTTTTTTTTGGTACTGGGGATTCAACTCAGGGGTACTCTACCACTGAGTTACATCCCTCTCTCCTTTCATTTTTTTATTCTGAGACAGGGTCTCGCTAAGTTGCTTAGGACCTCACTAAATTACTGAGGCTGAATTGGAATTTATGATCCTCCTGCTTCAGCCTCCTGAGTCACTAGGATTACAGGGTTGTGCCACAGTATCCTGCTGATTCTATTTCCCTTTAATAAACAAGACAACCTAGAGAAAACAGCCTAGGGAATATGGAAGACCTAGATTTTAGATTTTTCACCCTAATAAGCCCTATGACTTTCCTAAGTTAATCTCTCTAGAGTTCAGTGTCTTCATCAAATTCCATTTATAATTATTGGGCCCTTCCATATAAAAGACAGTATGTTTTGGGAAGTTAAAGCAGGAGGATCACAAGTTTGAGGTCAGACTGGGCAACTTTGTGAGAATTTGTCACAAAATAAAAAAATAAAAAAAGGGCTGGGATGTAGCTCAGTTGTATAAGGCCCCTGAGTTCAATTTGCAGTACCACATACACAAAAGACCCTAAGCTAGGCTGAGATTAGAACAAAGATAGAAATAAGAGACTATGTGACATGAGGTGGTGGGAAACATGGGTTTTGAAGTCAGAATAGTAATATTCAAATCACACTTTCCCCTTCTTATAAAGGGATAACATTTGGGCAATTTACTTAATTAGTTAGGCTCTGTGATTATTTCTTCATCTGTAAAATGGGGCCTATAACAACATCTACCCCAACTGCTGTTGTTTTGTGAGGCTTAAGTGTAATAATAAAAAGTGTCCAGCCATTAAATCAGCCTGCCACTAAGCAAGACACTTCAAGGTAGACTCATGCTGACTGACAGAATAAAGAATTTAACAGTCTGCAAAAAGAAAGGGTTTAACAGATGCTAGTGATTACTAGTATGTTTGTGGAGGTATTTTTATTTTTTCCTGGCATTAACCTTGCCCTCAAAAGGGTCCTAGTCCCATAGAGAGGCTAAATGAGTATATAAGTAACTGCCAAATGAATGAAAAAGAAGTGCAAAATACTCTGGTATTCAAAAGAAGGGATGCAATTCCTTAGGAAAACAAAGAAAAGTTTCAGGAAGTTACTAGAATCTTACATAACCCCTCAAGGAAGATTTGGATTTGTCAAGTGGGTGTGTCATGAATGGCATTCCAAGGGAAGGAAACAGCAAAGAAATCTTTGTAACAGCAAAGAAGCAGGAAAATGCAGTCCAGGTCTAGAAGAAGCAAGGGACTTTGAACCCCTTTTTATAAAATGGATTTTCACCATTTTAGATGACAGTATACAGATAAAATGTGATTAAAAGAAGCCAGTACTCTGAATTGTTGACCTCATACTTCCTGTTCCTCAAACAAGTCATATGCACTGTCTTTTAAATGATTCTAACATTAGTGAGTCTATGATTCTCAACCTACTGTTTTACTAGGAAATGGAAAAAAATATTGCAGCTGTTATATGCAAATACTAAATGATACCTTACAAGCACAGCTGTTGGGACATGTTGGAAAATAATACACACATACAGGCACACACACAATTCAAATAAGTAAGGACAATAACTAAAAAACAAATCACTAGGACTGGGGATATAGCTCAGTAGTAGAGTGCTTGCCTGATATACACAGGGTTCTCAGTTCCATCCCCAGTACCAAGAAAACAAAAACAAAAACAAAAAGTCACTATTGGGGGCAGGGGCTGGGGCTGGGGCTAGGGCTCAATGGTAGTGTGCTCACCTAGCACATGCTGGGTTCGATCCTCAGCAACATATAAAAATAAATAAACAAAATAAAGATATTATGCCCAACCACAACTAAAAATATATTAAAACAAAACAAAACACTATTGCTCTTTCAACTCTGCCCTACCTTACCTATTTCCTGGTTTTATTTTGAAATATATGCAACCAGACCTCTTCTTCCAAATTCCCAGAAATCTGTTTTGTTTTTTTTTTTTTTTTCCTTTGGCAGTGCTGGGGATTGAACCCAGGGCTTTGTGCATGTAAGGCAAGCACTCTGCCAACTGAGCTATATCCCTAGTACTCTAGTTCTCTGCTTTCAGATAGTTGTTGGTAGAATTTAACAGTCTGCAAAAAGAAAGGGTTTAACAGATGCTAGTGATTACTAGTATGTTTGTGGAGGGATTTTTATTTTTTCCTGGCATTGACCTTGCCCTCAAAAGGGTCCTAGTCCCATAGAGAGGCTAAATGAGTATATAAGTAACTGCCAAATGAATGAAAAAGAAGTGCAAAATACTCTGGTATTCAAAAGAAGGGATGCAATTCCTTATGAAAACAAAGTCCCCTTGTCTTTTTTTTTTTTTTTCAGAGAGAAGGCAAGGGGACTGTGGGGGCACTGAACTATTCTTGAGATTAAGCTAAAGAACTAAGAAATCACTGGCTTTCTGGTTTTTGACATAGTCTAGACACATCCTCAACCTCAAACCTTAGAACATTTTTTCAAAGTGGAGGGGGTGGGGTCCCATTCTGGTCTATTATTTCCCCCATAATAAGCTATTGTCTGTGATGAGGGTTTCTTTTGGATGGTATGGGAAGATAGGCAGGGAGGTTTATCAGCTTGCAGACTCTTTCTCCCCAGGAGTCTCCAATCATTCTGAGGTCAGCAAATTTCCTTCTCTCTGTCCTAAGCCAGAAGCACCAATTTATCTAAGAATACAAAATGATTTAATTTGTCCTTTGCCTATGGATCATGAAGAACATTCAGGTAAGAGTGATTTCCAGAGCCTGCCCCTCAATTAACCTAAGTATCTCACTTCTAGTTCTTTTCCTATGACTAGCAACACAATGCCTAATGCAAAATAATCAATAATTGGGTATTTGTTGAACAAATGAATGAACAAGATATGCATATTGATATGCATATCAAACAGTAAAAAGAGAAGGAATTTTGCAGGTAAATAATGTTAAGGGTAGACTGGGGATAGACATAGCTCTAGTAGACAGCATTTGCAAAGTCATGGGTTCCATCCCTAGCATTGCAAAAAATATAATAAGTAATTAATAATAATGATGATGATGATGATGATGATGACGACGATATGGAGGTGATGGTGGGGCTAAGTCTTTTTTTTTTTTTTAAACTCTACTCTTAATTTATGGAATACCCGTGGGGAAGTTGATATTTTTCAGCTTTCTTCTGTCTATAATCAGGTGAGGATATAATATCCAGATGTAATGTCAATTCTTGCTGTGGCTGGTTCAGCTGGCATGGCTGGTTCAAGCAGCATGGTGCCAAAAAAGGCACTGATATGATTTCCTTAAGAACCCATTCAAGAGGCTGGGGTTGTGGCTTAATAATAAAGTGCTTGCCTAGCATGCATGAGGCACTGAGTTTGATCCCTGGCATTACATAAAAGTAAATAAATAAAATAATTAAAGGTATTGTGTCCATCTACAACTAAAAAATATTTAAAAAGAAAAGAACCCATCCAATTCACACTCCATTACCCACCTTCCACACACTCAAATTCTTGCAAGCTGTTATACAAATGGATGCTACTCTAAAAAGTAAAACCAGGTTGGGATGGCTTTTTACAGCCTGTCTTCTTACCAAAAAAACCACCAAAGTAACTCATGAGCCAGGCATGGTGGTGCATGTCTGTAATCCCAGTGGTTTAGGAGGCTGAGCAGGAGGATCACAAATTCAAAGCCAGCCTCAGTAACTTAGTGAGGCCTTAAGCAACACAGCAAGACCCTATCTTAAAATAAAAAGGGCTGGTGATGTAGCTCAGTGGTTATGCACCCCTGGGTTCAATCCTTGGGACATCCCCCCTCCCCCCAAAAAAAAGTAGCTCATGAGCAGAACTCTGAAGAAAGGACAGGGCATGCACACAGGTATACACACAAAATACCTTATAGAGCTCATGTTTTGAGGTTTGAGTGCTCATTTGGAGGAAAAACTGTCTCGTTCATTTTAAAACCTAATCAATCTGTCTGGAAGTCTACAGCTTTGGTTCTGTGCTTATCAAAAATGGGGTTGTGGCTCAGCAGTAGAGTACTCACCTAGCATGTGCAAGGCCCTGGGTTTGATCCTCAGCACCACATAAAAAATAAATTAAATAAAGTTATTGTATTCAACTATAACTAAAAAATATTTTTTTAAAAAATGTAAGACTCCATGAAGTTTCTCATTTCAGGATCTCATACTATTCTCAGCAGGACTCAGGGTATTCAGAAGTCAATGATTCTTTTAACGTTTTTAATTTTTATTTTGAGAAAGGGTCTTGCTAAGTTGCTCAGGTTGGCCTTTAACTTGTAATGCTCTCCACCTGCCCAGTAGCTGAGATTACAGGCACAAACCACCGTACCCAGTTTAGATTTCAACCATTCTTCTAATAAAGATTAAAACTCTCCTCTCCGAAGACTGGCTTTTCTTCTCTCCTTTACCAAAGTTTAGGACAGCACCAAGCAAACCTCAAGCATAACTATACCAATCTGAATTATGTCAGTGAGGAAGGACTCCTACTTTTCCTGGAAGGAAGGCATCTGCTGATTTTTAAGATCAGTGATCCATATAAAATCTTTCCTTCCTCCCTGTGATAAAATCCCTTGGGACAAATGGGCTCCAACAATGGCTTGGGAAATTACCTTTCTGACAAAGCAGTTTAGAGATGAGTGTTTGTGGAGAAGGTACTAAAGAAAGGATATGGAAGGAAAATTTGAATGATTTACACATTAACTTCCCCTCCTTTAACCATTCTTCTCACTGTAGGACCTTTCTACCATCCACTTGTAATTCTGGCAATAAATCATAGAGGCAAAGGAAAAGAAACATATGAAGAGCAAAACAGTTAAATTTAGAAGCCCTGAGAGTTACCTAAACATGAAAAAGCAGTAGATATTTTAGGTCCCCTAGAAATTGTGGAATGGTATTCTACCTAATTCCTTAATTTCTACCCCCAAATTAGGCTGGCCTCATAAGAAATGACCAAGAAAAATAAATAAGGATTTAAAAAAAAAAAAAAAAAATCAAGCATAATACAGAGATGCCACAAACTACCATAGGCACTTTACTTGACCTTCCTTCCCCACCCCTCCTCTCCAGCTTGGTTTCCAAAAGGATTAGGGCCCTCAGGGGAGCTGGCAAATAATAGGAGTGTATTTTAAAACAAGTCCCCTGAACTGACTCCTAAGAAAACATGACATATTTTCACCTAATGAGCTTTTTAAGCTTAATATACTACTCCCAGGACTGTTCCATGAAGGGCACAGATCCTTTTATCCTAAAAGGCAACAATAGCCAGTTCTACTTCTGTTTTGAGTGAATCTGCAAACTACAGTGATATGCTTTTTAGCAGAAAAAATTATTTTATTTTATTTTTTTAAGAGAGAGAGAGAGAGAGAATATTTTAGTTATTGACAGACACAACATCCTTGTTTGTATGTGGTGCTAAGGATCGAACCTGGGCCGCATGCATGCCAGGCGAGCGCGCTACCGCTTGAGCCACATCCACAGCCCAGAAAAAATAATTTTAAATGCCCAACACTTTTGTGTGTGTGTGTGTGTGTTACTGAGATTGAACCCAAGGGCACCATATCTCCAGCCCTTTATATTTTTTGAGACAGGATTTCACTAAATTGCCAAGGGTGGCTTCAAACTTGCCATCCTCCTGCCTCAGACTCCTGAGTCACTGGGATTACAGGCGTGCACCATGGTGCCCAGCCCAACATTAATTATTCTTTTATATGAGTGGGAGCATGTTTCAAGAGACATAGCTACACAGGTAGCTTCTCTGGATTAATTCACAAAAGGATATCAACATTTATATAGCCAACACACGCAAATCTATTCTTCATTTGGGAATAGTAAAAACAAACATTAGTAAAAGTCAAATCTACATTAAATCTAATTGCTTCATACTTATGCTTACTTTCTAAAGCTAATAGCAATTAGCAAAATGAATGAACTGATTTGAATCCCATTTCTCCCTGACCCTGGTAGATGCATACATATAACTAACCTTACTGAACACTGGTAATATGTGTCCCTGAGACAGGTAGGAAAATCAAAACCAGAAATCATGGCTGCTCAGATTACTGAGCCACTTGCTCTATCCAAATTTCCCAAGTTCATTCAAGTTCCTTACCTAAAATGTTTTAGAGTGCCTTAGAAGACTTTTATAATCCCAAAGGCTTTAAGACTACTCATTGACAACTGTTTGAACTGGCTGCTCAGCTTATTCTAAGCAAGCCCTTATTCCACATATCACATCAACCATAGTGCCAGCAGTACTAGGGAAAGCATAGGAAAACAGTTCTGGGACGCAAGCAACCAGAAACTCTGTGAAAATCTTGGTCTACCCACACTTTTTTCTTGAAATGGATGACTTTCCTATGTCATGTCATAGTGATATGCGCAGATGCAGTGTTTGAAGAGTATTGGAAAGGGGAGTAGGCACCAGTCAAGGGACATGGGTTTCTGTCTTAGTTCTTATACAAACTAGCCGGAGATCTTGGCCAAGTCACACTATCTACATTTAGGTTTCTGTTACCTCATCAGTAAAATGCATGGATCATGTTAGAAAATCTCTAAGGACATTTACGGCTACAATGATAATCCTAAGTGAAAGAAAAAGAAAGTGAAAGTGTTCATTTTAACTTTCTTTTCTAAGAAAATCAGGAGCATGACACTGTGTCAGCAAGTACAGGCACATTTTTCACAGAGCCTAAATGTACAATGTGATTTGAACCATACAACTTGTTAGTTCCAATTAACTCAGGATTACTGACTACCCTTTTAAAGGTTCTTTCCACTCCACAGCTGTCAAGTCTGCCAAAGGGTAGAGTTTCAAAGCCCCCTGAAATTATCTGGGCAAATGAGCCATCCAGTTATTCGTAAATCATGTGGTTCGACACAAGCGACAAAGACCTACTGCATCACGTTCCATTGTTTCATATGGATTGGGCAAACCCTAAGAGATGAGTTATAATATATCTTCCATATTATTCTACTCGACTCCAACCATGGCCACTTGTTGGCCGGCATCTGCAGCAAAGAATCCAAGCGACAGGAAAAAAGTTAACCTGTCCGGGTGGGGCTGAAATCAAATGTGAATGGGAACATTAGCCCCCAAACTAAATCGGGCTAATGCCAGTGGGGAGGGGCAAGGGAAAAGCAACGGTGAAGTAGGTCGGCACTAAGCCTTTTTCTTCTAGGCTGCACTGAATAAAATGGGAGGGGGCTTCAGGTATGAAGCCTACTCGCAGAGCGGGAAACTGAGGCCTAAGGAAAAGTAACTTCTCCGGAGTGACGCGGCCCCGCCCACGCGGGGCAGCAGTCCGCGCGACGTCCAGGCGAGGCGGATTACGAATCCCCAGGTGGCGGTGGGAGGGGGCATGACGCCAAGGACACGTAGGGAGGCTGCTGCGTCACGACCCTCTCCCCGGTCAGCGACCAAAAGCACTGCGCCCCGGCCCTCCTCAGGAGAAAACTGTCCCTGAACCCTCCAAGGCCTCGGAAGGAGCGCCGGGGCCTCCGGGGTCTAACTCCCACTGAAGATCACCTTAGGAGGTGGCCGTGAGGTGAAAGCTGAAATAGGCCGCACCTCTACCGTCCAAGTCCTTTCTCGGCGCTGGAAGTCTGAGTCTGGGGAACCTGAGGGCCCAGCGGCCCCCTTTCACTTCAGGGACTCACCAGGGCAGCAGCCGGCAGCCGCGCAACAGCAACAGAGCAGGGAAAGGGGCAGGGGCGGGACTAAAAGCCCCAGGGATCACCGATCCAGCCCGGCCCCGCCCGCGGCGTCATAACGGTCAGCAAGCCCCGCCCCGCCGCACGGCTGGCTGGGAGTTGTAGTTGTTAGGAATGCCCCTCAGGTTTTCCTGGTCAGGAGTAGTGACAAGGGATCTATTTTATCCCCTCGAAGGAACTATTTTACACATATGTTTTTTATATATGTATTTTTTAACTTTTTTTTTTTTCAATTTTGACTGAGAAATCTCCATGCCTTTAGAGGTTCATTGAGAGTCGTTTTCATTTTCCTTTTTCCTCTTGCCACAGAATACTAAGAGTCCTATAGATGAGACTCTGGCGTTTATCATGCAATATTCCCGAGTCTCTTTGTGTTTTTTTTTTTAAATCATGTGGTGCTGGGGATGGAACCCAGGGCCTTGTGCATGCAAAGCAAGTACTCTACCAACTGAGTTACAAGCCCAGCCCCTCTTTGTGTTTTATCATTCCTTTCTATGAACAAATTATTCTTTAGAGATAATTCTTTAAGGTAGTGCTCTTTCTTTAATTAAGAACAAACTTAGCAGGACTGAGGATGTAGCTCAGTGGTAGCCCCCTTGCTTAGTATGCATGAGGCCCTGTGTTCAGTTCCCCAGTACCATAATAAATAAACTCAGCAATAAGCTCCTTATGTGAGCATGAATATCATCCTTGAAATGTGATCTCCCTGGCCTTTCTTCAACTGGAATCTTGTTAACTTGGGTTTAGCAAGAATCTCCCTACCATGATGTTGCCTCTTAGAAATTTTGCACCCATTGCCCCCTCACTCTGCTTGTTGACTATAAATTCCCACTTATCTTTATTGTATTCAATCCCCAGTTTGGTAAAAAAAAAAAAAGGAAAACTTTATTTAGGAGTATTGCAATAGGAACAAAGTGATGATAGGAGTCAGTGTACAGAAAAGTACTAAAGAGGTTGGGAGTGTAGATCAGTGACCAACACTAGCCTAGAATATGTGAGGCCCTGGGTTCCATCCCAGCACACACACACTCACAAAATTACCAAGGGGAGATATCAAGAGTAGGGAAGCTGTGGTGTGCACTCTGTAATCCCAGCAATTTGAGAAGCTGAAGCAAGAGGATTGCAAGTTCAAGGCCAGCTTTAGCAATTTAGCCAAACCTTGTCTCAAAATAAAAAAATGAAAAGGGCTTGGGATGTAGCTTGGTGGTAAAGCACCCCTGGGTTCAATCCCCAATATAACAAACAAACAGAAAGAATAGGGAAATTCTTACTAAACTAACAATAGGATTCTTGCTGAAGGGAGGCCAGGCCAGAGAATGATATTGAGAGTAGAAGAGGAAGAATTTCATCAGATATTGAGAATAATCAGATATCAAGTGTAAGGGGTTCTCTTTAACTACCTTAAGATTCCTGCTAAAACTGAACTCCCAAGAACAGACAAGGAGGAGGGGCTGGGATTGTGGCTTAGAGGTAGAGCACTCGCCTAGCATGGGCGGGACGGGGTTCGATCCTCAGCACCACATAAAAATAAAGGCATTGTGTTGTGTCCATCTAGACCTAAAAAATATTTAAAAAAAAAAAAAAAACAAGAAAAACAGTCAAGGCCAAATTGCAAAGAGGGCTTAGAGGAGCCTAGCTAAAACTTGATGGAAGAGAGAGTCTTCGTTAGAAGATTTGACAATGGATTTACTTGAAGAAGAAGCTTGGCAAGCAGAAAAAGGGATGGATGAGAGAAAATTAAAGACAAAGGGAATGAGTGGTTATGCACAGCAGTGCTGTCTGGGAGAATTCTCTGCTGCAATGGAAATGTTTGATATCTGCACTACCAGATCCAGTAGCCACTATTCATATGTGGCTATTGAGCATTTGAAATGTGGCTAATGAGACTGAGGAACTGAATTTTCATAGAACAAATTGAAATAGCTGTGGACTAGTGTCCTCTGCAGTATCTGGTGACACAGGCATGGATCCTGGGAAGGAGAAAGAGCAGGAAGCAAGTGGAGAAGAAAGTGCCCAAGCAGCAACTTCTACTTGCACCTTTACTTGCAGCATGAGCCCTGCCCAGCCCTGTGGAGGGGCAATGACATTGGCATTTGAACTTTCAATTGCATGTAAAAGAGGGTGAAAGGGATTTCCTTCTTGAATCTTGTTGTCTCTGTAACCACCTAATCCTTCCAAAGTGCAGATTGTTTCAGTGCCTAAATTTGAGAAAGAAGAGGACTACTAGGCTGAGATATGACAGAACTTTTACTATATGCAGGTCAAGTATAGTGTTTTATAAACTTCAGGAAAAACAGGGTTCAGGTGTACCTCACATTAACCACTTGTCTCTAAAATATGTAGGCAGGGCTGGGGATATGGCTCAGGCGGTAGCGTGCTTGACTGGCATGCGTGCAGCCCGGGTTCGATCCTCAGCACCACATACAAACGAAGATGTTGTGTCCGCCGATAACTAAAAAATAAATATTAAAAATTCTCTCTCTCGGGCTGGGGATGTGGCTCAAGCGGTAGCGTGCTTGCCTGGCATGCGTGTGGCCTGGGTTTGATCCTCAGCACCACATACAAAGAAAGATGTTGTGTCCACCAATAACTAAAAAATAAACATTAAAAAAAAAATTTAAAAAAAAAAAAAAAAATTCTCTCTCTCTCACTCTCTCTCTTTAAAAAAAAAATATATGTGGGCAACCCAAATCACCTATTAAACATTTCAGAAATTGCTAATATTTACAGACTTTTCCCAGCCCAAAGTGCTAACATTTAAAGGCACTTTGCAATGGTCCCTTTTACAAATTGGCATTGTTTTGTTTTTTCAAAAATTATACCAAATAATAAACTGGTATAAAAAAACTCCATAATCTCACCAATATCTTAAGTCCCTTGACTTTATTAGTTAAGATTTCTGATAAAACTGAGAAAATTAGTCTATATGACGGCCTTCCTTGAATTAGTTGATTCTATGAGGGTTATTTTATTGTTAGAGTATGTAAACAAGTCAAAATAACACCTGGCATTTTGCCAGGGGAATGTTAGAGTTCATAAACAAGTCTGGATGGTGCCTGGCAAAATGCCAGAGGGAGCGGTTTGAGAAGTAACAAAAGCAAGCCATTAAGTGTGGAGATTTCTTATTGGTTGACTGATGTATCTAGTTTATGTTAATTAGATAAGCTGTGTGGAATGTATAAATACCGCTCCTGTCCTACAATAAACAGCTCCCACTCCTGCTGTATCAATCTACACAAGTTGTTCGTCACCCCCCCCCCTCGGTTATTTTGCCCAGCCAGCCGGACTGCGGCATTTTATAACTCTGTAAATTGGAGATAATTAACAGAGAAGTAAATTCTGTCTGGTCTGATAGAAACTTAATTGTCTTCTTTCCCTTCTGGGGGAAAAAAAAACAAAAAATTTTGCTGCTGGGAGCCATTAGCCAAGTAGGTATGACAATTTCCTTGCCAGCGTACCCCATGTTGCTTAGTGGAAGGACTCGTGGAAATAGGACATTTTGCAGTGACATTGCATCTAAGGTGACCTTGCTCAAGGACCAGGGCGGATCCGGGTTTAGGGCGTTCCTGGTTTAGGACTATCCGGGTTTAGGGTGGTTCCAGGTTTTAGGTTATTCCTGCTGGGAATAGGGCGTATCCTGCTGCCTGAGTTCCCCTTGAGTTCTCACGGGATTCAGACAGTATTTTTGGGGAGAGAAGCCCAGTGGGGGTGGATTTGGGCAGAGAACGTGGATTTCCCCAGAACGTGATTGTAGACGGCTGGTGTGAGTTCGGGAATAAAGAGTTGCGTTTTGAATCTACAAGCTGTGTGGTGGCTCCTGATTTTGTGCCCAGCCAGACTGCGGCATTTTGCCTCCATTTGCAATTCCTTTCAATATTCTTTTTCTCAAATTTTGTGCTTCTTGACTTCTTTTTGGAACCATCTAACCATCTGAATGCTTTCCTCATTTGAATGTGTCAAATAAAATATCTAACACACATTCATTTTTTTAAATTTTTTTTTAAGAGAGAGAATTTTTAATATTTATTTTTCAGTTTTCAGCGGTCACAACATCTTTGTTTGTATGTGGTGCTGAGGATGGAACCCAGGCCGCACGCATGCCAGGTGAGTGCGCTACCGCTTGAGCCATATCCCCAGCCCTAACACACATTCATTTTTAAAAATCTGTATGAGAGAATTGTGGTTCTCTCTTTCTCTCTCTCCCCATCCACCCCCCTTTTTGGAAAATTCTCTCTTAGCATTTCTTCTATTTTTTTTTTTTTTTTTTGCATATAAGTCTGTGTTTGACATAATCGTAACCTTTTTTCACATTATTAGCTAAAAAACTTTTTCACATAAAACCTAATTTTTACTGGTTTCTATTTTGTTACAAGTGACTCTACCATGATTTACTTCACCATTCTCTAACCATTACATATTAAATTGCTCATTAAACAACAATAAAATAATAATAATAGCTATTATTGATGATGCTGGTGATTGAACCCAGGATCATTAAACAGTAAAGATTCTGAAGGTACTTAACTGCTTTGTAAGTCTGGATTTGACTACATATTACTGGTATTATCAGATGAAATGTTATCAGTGTATCATGCTACATATTACATACCCATGACATGCATGTGCATTGTGTGGCTACCAAAAATAAGTGTTACTGGGAAATGGATGTCCCAAGCCCTCTGAAGAAAAATGAAAGGACGGTTTTGCAGAGGGCCCTTTTGTTTTGTTTATTTTTTTTTAAAGAGAGAGAGAAGAGAGAAATTTTTAATATTTATTTTTCATTTTTCGTGGACACAACATCTTTATTCCATTTCTATGTGGTGCTGAGGATCAAACCCAGCACCCCGCACATGCCAGGCAAGTGCATTACCACTTGAGCCACTGTTTTGCTTATTTTTAAAAATTGTTTATTTGGGGGTTGTGGCTCAGTGGTAGAGCATTTGTCTAGCATGGGTTCAATTCTAAGCACCACATAAAAATAAAGGTCCACCAACAACTAATAAAATATATTTTTAAATTATTTATTATTTTTGTGGTACTGAGAATTGAACCCAGGAGAATTGTATGCTGAGCTACATCCCCAGTCCTTTTTTATTTTTTGAGACCTGGTCTCACTAATTTGCCAAGGTTAACCTTAAACTTTTGATCCTCTTGCCTCAGCCTCCTGAGTCCCTGGGATTACAGGTGTGTGCCACTGCACCACTTCCTTTTCTTCCATGTAGTGTGTTAGTACTGAGTTTGTGTCTCCTTTAGCACATAGGACAGTCTTAAGGAATGTGCTTGTTATTCCCCTTGCAGTGGAGGCACTTCTCTGGCATTTGTTCCTAGGTGCCCCCATACCAAGAAAAGGATGCATTAAAATAGCCATAAACAGCTACCTACTCTTAGGAAAAGCTGTTTCCCTAGAAGGTGAAGGAGGAAGAAGAAGAAGAAGACAGGCAAGAGAAAGACAGAAATCTGAAATTTCCATGCTTATGGCTGAACAGCCCTATTTCCAGAGACAGTCCTATTTCTAGCCCTATTTCCCATCAGATACAGCTATGCATCAAAGTGTGGAGAGCTCAAAAACAGTGTTGGGCAGCAATTTCTATTTCTCTTCTTTTTTTCTTTTTCTTCTTTTGGTACTGGGGATTAACCCCAGGGGTGCACTACCACTGAGCTACATCACAGCTTTTTTTTTTATTTTTTATCTTGAGATAGGATCTTGCTAAATTGCCAAGGCTGGACTCAAACTTGTGATCTTCCTGCTTTAGCTTCCCAAATTCCTGGGATTACAAGCCTGCTCCACTGGCTGTGTGTGTATATATATATATATATACACACACATACATACATACACTGGGAATTGAATATAGTGGCACTCTAATACTGACCTACATCCCTCGTCCCCTTTTTATTTTTTCTTTTGAAACAAGATCTCACTAAATTGCCCAAGCTGGCCTTGAACTTGCAACTCTTCTGCCTTTGTCTCTGGAGTAGCTGGGATTACAGATGTGCTATACTGTGACTAGCTTGTAATTTCTATTTTTATGTCAGTAATATCACTAGTAAGAGTGTAGAGAAGGGAACAGTGGGCTCTATGAACCCACTACAAGGCCTTGGACAGGCCAACTCACTTCTCTAGGCCTTGGTTTCTTTATCCGAAAGAAAGAGAAATGCTGGAGGGGAGGAGGGGTCTGTAAGTGTTGTGTACATATTTCTACCCATTCCCTCATGCACTGTAGACTTGAAGAAAAAAAAAAATCTGGGGTATGCAAAAGTTCACCTTACCGTCCTTGCCTCATTCCCACTCCCTATCCTTAACCCATCCCTGGAACATATATCTAGACTTTCCTTCCGCAGGACTGGCACTGGAAGAAAAGGCTTTCAGGAGGGACCTGGGTTCAGGAAGCGGGAGGCAGGATCTCTCTGTAATTAATTTCATGAAAGAAGAATCCCATGCTGAGAAAATTCTGTGTGTCAACTGTAGAGCAAACAATCTTCTGAGGGTTTCATTATTGTTTTACCCTTTATTTATCAAGTCACTTGGGTGCTTTAGGGACAAAACAGTGAAAATAACATCTCAGGCTTGTTTTTACTCCCCCCACCCCCCAATCCCACCTTGCTTTTCTCTGAGTTGGAATTCAGAGAAGGGGATGCAGTCAACACTTTTGTTTAAAAAAATTTTTTTTAGTTGTAAATGGACACACAATATCTTTGTTTATTAATTTATTTTTTATGTGGTGCTGAGGCTCAAGCCCAGTGCATCATACCTGCGAGGTATTAAGTGCTGTACCACGGAGCCACAACCCCGCAGTCAACACTCTTTGACATCTGGGAAGACCCTCCCCGCAGTCAACACTCTTTGACATCTGGGAAGACCTTCCACCTTTCATGCCCAGTCCAGAAAGTCCCTCAGTGTTTGCCACGTGGGGTTTTCTGATTTGGGTCTGCCTGGTACAAATCACTGATGTTCTTTGATTTCCTGGCTTCATTCTGGCCCTGGAGAGTGTGCCTGACCGTGGAAGCCTGCTTTGGCCTACATATTGGGGCCGCTCTACCATTTACCCTGTTGGCTCCTGTCATTACCCCTGAAAGGACAGCGGTGCCAGGATCTGGCCTATTAGCTCCCGCTGCAGCCAACCGTCTCTCATAAATAACCAGTTGTCAGGGATTTTAATGGAAACCCTCTGGAAGCTGTAAATCTTTGCTGCTCCCTTCTGCATCCTCTCCCTCATTTCCATCACAATATCACTCCTGAGGGACAAGAAACCGAAGCGTCAGCCTGGTGGAGCAGATTGGTAGGACACTGGGGAGAGAAAAAGGTGGGGTGGGGGAGGGGAACAGAGTTAGGACTGTTTGTCTTAGGGAAGCATCTGCTGGGGGACCAGTTGATGGTGGTCACCTGGGCCCTTAGGGCTCTGGAGAGGGGGAGGGGCAGTACAGCTTGGGCCACCTGCAGGGTAGAGGGAAGAGGACTATGTGGCAGAGAGGTTTCTGGGAGCAGCAGATGGGCTGCTGATTCCACCTTGGGCTTCTCTGTTCACTCCACTTCTCTGTTCACTTTTCTGTTCATTTACACTCCATGTAAGCTTCTTGTCACAGACTTCTGGTATCCATGGGGCTAAGCTACACCTTTACCTATAGCCTCCTGCTCTTGCAAATAAGCAGGTAAAGGGGCAGTTTCTTTGGCTCGGAGGAGCTTAGGTTACCAACCTAGGTTCAAATGCTGACAACATCATATGCATATAGTAAGTAACTCCCCAAACAGCTGGGGATAAAGGCTTACATACCAGCTTTATAGGGAAGGGGGTGTTTTAGGGCTTCAAAGGATGGGAGGTTCTTATGAGGCTGTTGACAGAATTTTTTAAGAATGTACAAGGAGAAAAACTCCTTGAGAGAGACGCTCCCTCCATAGAGGGTTTGTGACAGGTGCTTTATTTAGATAAGGGAAATTAACATAGGATTTCTTTCTGCATGTGCTGCAGATCAAATGGGTTTTCACTTTCAAATAATATTTAGACAACCTTTAATTTAATTTTACTAGTTTAATTTTTCAGTACTGGAGATTGAACCTAAGGGTGTTCTAACCCTGGAGCTACACCCCAGCATCCCAGTCCTTTTTTTTTTTTTTTTCCATTTCCCAGGTTGGTTCAAGCTTTTGATTCTCCTGCCTCAGCCGCACAAGTAGCTGGGATTACAGACATGCATTTCTATGCTATGCAAGTTTTTTGTTTTTGATTTTTGAAGTCCCTTCACTGCCATTTCCTCCATATTCTATCACAGCACAGCATGAAGTGCTGGGCACACCCATGGGCACAATGCTCCCAATGAGTTCGCTCAAATCCTCCAGGAAGCTTTCCTGGATTAATCCCCAAAGGGTCCCCATCAGAAATGTGGCTTCTGCCCCTTCTCTTAGAATTTTGGACTGTAGCTTTCCTGAGAAGGTACAGTTTTTCTTCCTCCTTTTGTTGCTCATTAAGTGACCAGCAAAGGCTCTATTCTCAGCAGAGAGGATGATCCTAGAGACTAAACCTTTCCCATAGAAGTGACCACATTTCAGTGGCATTGCATCAAACCCCTGAAAATTTCTCATGACTGAAGAAGTAAGGACATTGACAACAAGAAAGCATTGTCTAAAAACACTATAGTTGCCAGGCGCGGTGTGGCAGGAGGACCGCGAGTTCAAAGCCAGTCTCAACAATGCCAAGGCAGTAAGCAACTCAGTGAGACCCTATCTCGAAATAAAATACAAAATAGGCCTGGGAATGTGGCTCAGTGGTCTAGTGCCCCCGAGTTCAACCCCTCGTAGCCGTCCCCCAATACATAAGATAAAACACTATAGTTTATGCACTTAAAATCGACCCTTTGATCTTTCACCAAATCCTGAATTAATCCAGGCAGAAAGACCTCCTCTCTGCCTACCAGTCCTTTGCAGGCTGCAGTCTGGGCGAGGTATGAGGAACGGCGAGAAAAGTACAAATATTTGAATCCAGTCACTACCACGGTTTCCCACTCTGAGGACAGTCAAATGGTTGTGGTGAGAAACCGAGACCCCTGACCCCTTAAGCCTCATTGACTTTTCAGTCGGTCTGGGTGGCACTCTTATTAATCAGGTCGATGTCCTGATTCAGAAAGTCTGAGCGGTACATGGCTGATTGGCAACACCCATTTTACTGTGAAAGAAGCTAAGCCTCAGATAGGTAATGTGGACTGCCCAAGGTCACACAGGCAAAAGAGGCCTGCGACTGCGATCCTGACTTGAGTCTCCATCCACTGCTCTCCAGCTTCTGGTTTCGGCAATTGACCGTCGTTGGAGGGCTTAAGTTCAAGTCCTTCCCTCCCCGCGGCGGGTGCAGCCGGAGCTCGGGAGCTAGTCTTTCGGACAGCGCCGGTGCACTGCGCTCGGTAGGCGCCGGCCAGGGTGAACCTCCGCGGGAACTCCGATCGCTGGGTGAGGGCTGGGGAGGAGCCCCGCGGAGGTCGAGGGGTAGTCGCGCCCCTTAGCTGTAGGGAGCCGGTGCGTCCCCAGCGTCTCCCGGGACAACCTCAGCGCTTCCCTCTACCAGCTCTGGGACGGTTGATTAGATTCGGAGGGAGGGGCCATGGCCCGCTAATGCAGGGGCCAATCGAAGTCCGGAGACGTCCTGTATGTAAATATGAGAGACTGGCGGACGCGGAGTTAGGAGGAGAGCGGGCTGGATTTGGGGTTGTCTGGCAGCCAATGGGAGCGTCTCTCTTTACTCCTCCCGGGGAGCCTGCAGGTGTGGCTGTGAGCGGTGCGGGCCGTAGAGCTCGGGCGAGACCGCGTAGAAGGATTCGCGGGTAAGAGCGCCCCCGAAGTCCGGTGCTGGCCCCAAACCGCGGCCTCTTAATGCCTCCCCACCACGGCAAACCTGACTCGACACGTCCCCTTACCCCATCTGAGACCCAGTTCCCAGGGCTGCCCTCTGCCAGCTACTCACCCTCACAGCCCCTCAGCTCCGCAGCTCGTCTCTTCTCACCCCGCCCTGTTAACGCTCGCTTCCGGCTTCCCCCGATTTCCTAAACTCGGTGCCACCTGTGAAATGTCCCTTAGTTACAAGCGATCCCTGGGACTCCCAACAGCCCTTCACCTCCTTCTTCACCGTCGTGGGTTCTTCTTTTCGTCAGTTTTCTTCCTTGGGCTTCGCATTTTTCCTGCCTCCTTTCCTCCCTCTTTCCCTTCCACTTGTTATTTCTCACCCCTTCTGAGGGAATATTCTTCCAGGTTTGAGGAAATTTATTTCTGGGATTTAAATTCTAGGAAAAAAAAATATTACTTACATTTGGGGTTGAAATGGGAAGGGGGCTAACGTTTATTAAGCACTGATATGCGCCGGGTGCTCCAGAAAGTTATTTAATATTTACACCAATCCTGCCATTACTTTTTAAAAAAAAATTTTTATGATATGGCACATATTTTGAACGAAGCTCTGCTTTAAGAGCATTAGAAATGTTAACACAGTCTTTAGAATGGTCTCATGATTTGTCTGTTATTATCCTCATTTTTTTAATGAGGAAACTGAGGTACAGAGCTGGAATCTGTTTTTGCTAATATTGTCTTGAATATTATGAAGAAAATGACTAGACATGAACCTAACCTGAAAATTACATCTTCCGATCTTGCAGAATTCCTAAATTTCTAGCAGAATAAAAGATGGCATCTGAGTTTGCAAGATTCTTATCTTTCCCAGTGAAAGTGGCCTGTTGTTTTCAGGACTTCTTAATTGGCAGAGCCGTTGAGCAATTTGATTCCACATCTCTTTGTTGTTAGTTTATATTTTGCTAAAATTCCAAAGGTGGCTAAAAGGAAAAGCAAAGAGGCTGCAAAAGGCATCTTCTTTCATCCTGTCTGGATCAAAGCTCAAATACTCTGAATGAGAAGTTTTTAATCTCTTGTGGGTCCTATAAGCATAAAGAAGATAAGGAATGAAGAAAGGAAATAATAAAGTGGCTCCCATGCCATATTGAGTCAGAAGGGCTAAGCTGAAAGCTAGATCCAGAGGTATCTCCTCTACATTCTTTTGTCCCCACTCCATTCATCATTTTCCAAGAGCTGGTTACTGGAGGCTTCAGAGGGACCCTTCTAGTAGGGAAACAAGAGCCAAAACATGAAAGAGGGTGTGTGAAGGAAAACCTATTATTTGGGAAAAGAGGAGGAAGTTTCAGGCAGACAAAAGAGGAGAGTCCTTCAGACTGGAAGAAAAGTCCAGACTATAAATGGAAGGAATGAAAGAATTTGGCTAACCTTTTAAACATGTTCCTATATCATCCTTTCCTACCCCCATCCCACCCTGTCTCTCTCCCAGGGCTGGGGATTGAACCCAGGGACACCCTACCACTGAGCTACATCTCCAGCTCTTTTTAATTTTTATTTTGAGACAAGGTCTTACTAAGTTGCTTAAGGTCTCTCTAAACTGCTGAGACTGGCCTTGAACTTGTGACCTGTCTTAGCATCCCAAGACACTGGGATTACAGGCATGCACTACTGCCATGCTTCCTATCATTCTTATTTTAATCACCCACAAAATTATTCTTTCCTCCCACTAATGGACATTTGTATTCATTCAATCTTGGCAAAAGAAAGCATTAAACATTTCCCAGTGAAAAGAAGAGTAGTCAAATGTGTAGTCCTTCAGAAGTGGAAACCAGACATGGACTCCAAGTTTTTTCCAAATAACCTGTAGGGAGTTTGCCTCCAGCCATCCCAGTGCTCAATTACTCCCCCTGGTGGCCAATAAAGAGTATTTTCATGCTCCCTAACTAAGAATGAAGTTGACAGCCTCTGGTTTGGAAGATCTCAAGATCAAACCCATACTTAAATGGAAGGAAACAACAGTGTTTTTTCACCATCCTAACTATCCTATTTGGAAAAGTGAACTGAACGTCTCTTGCATCATTAAGAAAAATTGGGCCAGCCTGGGAAACTTAGCAGACCCTGCCACAAAATAAAAAATGAGATGGTTGATGTAGCCTAGGGGTAGAGCACCCCTAGGGTTCAATTCCTAGTACCAAAGGGGTACAGGGGGGAAAGAAAGTAAAACAAAAGAGAACAACTGAACATGCTATTTACTGTGTTTTGTTTGTTGCATTGGTAGCAAAGCTCTTAGTCTTCTTTTTCAAACTCTCCAAACTACTTAGTCCACTTTGCCTGCTGTTCTTGCGCAATTTTTTTTTTTTTAACCAGAGATTAAACCCAGGGTTGCTTAATCACTGAGCCACATCTCCAGCCCCTGGCCCTCCTTATTTTTTTGAGACAGGTTCTGGCTGAATTGCTTAGGATCTCACTAAGTTGCTAAGGCTGGCTTTGCATTCACAGTCCTCCTGCCTCAGCCTCCTGAACCACTGGAATTACAGGCATGTGTCATCATACCCAGAAGCGTCCTTGAACAATGCAAAGAGAATTATGCAGGGTAGGAAGCAGAGGTTTTGGTCCTGGCTCCAATGACTTGCCCTCCAGCTCTGTGCACATCCCCTTTCCTAGAGTCCAGACCAGTGGCAGTACTGGGGGGGGGAGAAATTTCAAAACCTCCTCTAAAAAGTAAATAGACATTCTTCAAAGTCCCTCCAAGAGCTAATATTCAGGAATTCCATAATATCTTAAAATTATTCTAATTACACCCCTAATAAGAGCCCTGGTATAATGTGCATATTGGTGAAAATAAGGGAAAGAGTGAAAACGAATACAAAGCAGAAACAACAGAGCTATTCCCAGGTTATGAAGAATCCAGAGAGATGTGAACTTCGTTGGAAATTTAGGAGCAGTTGGCTTTAAGGGATGTGGGGACACTTTATTTATTTATTTATTTATTTATGGTAATGCTGGGGATTGAACTCAGGCACATTAGATAAGTGTTCTACTGCAAAGCTCTATGACCGGACTGAAATAATTAATTTTAAGGAACTAACGTCATCAAGGCTGCATCTGGGTGCAGTTTCTGATTTCCTTTCTGCAACTAGGAAATCAATTACTTTATAATCACACCATTTATGGGTGATCGGCTGAGAAGAAAAAACAGCAGAGTGTAGAGGAGAGAGAGGCTGTGGGGTCAGACAGACATGTGTTCTAAGTCCCAGATGTGCCCCTTACTTTCCTCTCTGTGCCTCAGTCTGCCATCAGAAGTCCAGGGTCATACAGCTGATAGTGATAGACAGCACTTCGTGAGTACCAACGATGAGCCAGGCACTGTTCTAGGAACTTTATATTGTATTAAGTCAAATGAGTTAACTTGTTTATTTCCCATAGTTGGGGTAAGCCATTTTACAGATGAGGTTAAGTAACTGCAGAAGGAGGTTAAGTAAACCACCTAAAAGTTAGGTATTTGGGAAGTGATAGAGCTAGAATTTATTTCATTTTTAATTTTTATTTTGTGGTATTGGCGATTCAACCCAGGGACACTCAGGTCCCCTGAGCTATACAGCCCCAGCATTTCTTTCTTTTTTTTTTTTTTCGAGTTGCTTAGGCTGGCCTCAAACTTGTGATCCTCTGCTTCAGCTTCCAGCGTCACTAGGATTACAGGTGTTCACCAGCAGGCACAGCTTGGCAACTACATCTATCAACTATAGCAATAACAACACATTACTGGGCCAAGTGAATGCTTCTACAGGTTGGGTTCAGGATGGAAGTCTCCAGCAGGCAACCTTTGAATGAGATATTCTCTTTTAGGAGACTTTGGAGAGAAGCCAGCAGGTTTCTGCCTTATAAATTAAATAGGGAGGTTGGGAAAGAGAAAGACAAAGCAAAAAATAATCACGTGTGGCAAAGACTATTGTCTGCCATCTCCCACCTGTCTCCGGTGCCACCCAGGTACTTGTGTCATAGGCAGCCTAGAATACAGGGGAATGTAGGCAAGAATGCCATGGTGAACCCATCCCTCCTAAAGTTCATGGGCTTAGCTCCTTGCACTATGGGTCTGAGCCCTTCTCATGAAAGGACAAGCCATTTGACCTTTTTGTTTGTCTGGTTGGTTAGTCTCTTTGAGGCAGACAAATATAAGCAGCCATGATTAGTTCTGACCACTTGGGTAAGGATTTGAAAAAGGGCAAAGATAACTTCTGACTCCAGAGGTCAAATTCAGAGTCAGTTTCTCCCCAAGTTAACATTAACCTTTAGGTAAACGAGCCACTCCTCCTTGAGGGCTTGGTAAACAGGAGCCGTTGTGGAGGGCTAGGGGAGTGGAGCTGGCCGTTTACCTGCAAGGAAGGGAGCAGCCCAAGGTCAAGATTCATGTTCCTTAGTTCTCTTGAACTTTGCCAAGTATATGCCCTGTCAATGAGAAAAACTTTACATTACAAAGCTCAGGTTTTATCTGTCAGTTGCATGGAGTACAACTCTTTTTCCCCCTGCTCCGCTGTCACCATAAAGGGACTTGGGTACAAATGATAATGAGAGACAGAAAATAAGTGGCAATCTTTGGTCCATGTAATAATTCTGCCTGTCTTTCTCCCAGGGGTGATTATAAGCATTCAATGAGAGTATGCATATGAAAATTGTTTGCAAAGCCCAAAGAACTATCCCACTTTAGGGTTTATTGTTAAATTATTCATGGATAGCCTTCCTAGTGAGAGCTCCCACCCTGACACCAAATTAGCTTTGGGAAAAGGGCAGAGAGAGGTAGAAGGGTATAACGTTAAAGACATGGCTGTAGGGTATAAGAGTTAGCTAGAATTAGCAAGTTTAATTGCAGAGGGGAGGTGATTCCCGAGAGATTGTGTACCTCTGGTGAGCCTGCTATAATTGCATGTTGCTAGTAGTAGTTAGTAAAAATTGTTGAAACCCCTCTGGGAAACAACAAGGTAAAAAAGAAAAAAAATATGTATACTAGAAGCTACACAATTTTCCTATAATTAGGACTATAATCTTCAGTTATTAATTTAAGAAAATAATCCCCCAAAAGTAAAAGACCCTCTCTAAAAGTATGGGGGGGTTGTTGGTATTATTTTTCCTCTGGCATCTTACTATTTTGCCCAGGCTGGTCTTAAAACTCCTGAGCTCAAGCAATCCTCCTCCCTTAGCGTCCCCAGTAGTTGGGGCTACAGATTCGTACCACCAAGCCCATTTGGAAAATATATATTTTAGAGTTATTTACATAAGATTAAAAATTGGAAGCAACTTAACATTTCCAACAACAAGACAATGGTTAGTTAAATATGGACGCATTCCTTCTATGGAATATTGCACAGCCATTAAAAACTAGGAACCTGCAAACTTTGCCACCACTTAAAGGATGTTTACAGTTTATGATATTATGTGGGCAAAAAGCAGATACAAAATTGACTACAATAATTGTGCTTGAAAATTAAGAATAAAAGAAGGCACAGATGAGTCAAAGTTGCTCTGCCCCACTTCTAAGGAGTTTGTTTGCAGTGAACCCAGGGCCTTCAGCATGCTAAGCAAGCCCTCTACTACTGAACTATATCCCAGCCTACCGTTCCCTATTTTTAAAGAATCCTGTAATGTATTTTCAATAATAATAAGAGTGTGTGGGAGGAAAAGATAGTAAATAGCAAAATAACTATGAGTATCAAAAGAGAGGAGCTAAAATGGTGAGGAGCTTGGTAGGATTTTAGGAGGTAAAGAGAGGAAGGGAGAGCACTAGAAAAGGAGCCTTATGGCCACAGGAGCCTTGGATGTAAGAGAATTCGCATTAATTGGGCCTAGCATATCTGGGTTACCCAAAGTGAACTAAGCACATTCCTAAAGAGTATTGAAGGAGGAACATTAAAGTTCACTTTTAAAAATTTGATATTTGAAAATTCAAGCAATCATCGAAGATGTCTCTTGGGGATCAGGAGGATGAGAACTTTGCTGTACTTCCTTGTATGTGTTTTTTGATTTGGTGTTATTTTTAATTTGGAGTGGATGGTAAGGGAGATGTTATAGACTTTTCTGTGGTGGGCATACTTGAAGGTCTGCATTTGACCCTGGACTTGAATCTTACAGTCAGCTACAAATCAGCACTGTACTCCATGAATGAGCATTGCATTTATTTTCAGGCCTGAAGATTACTATGTGGGGAGTTGGATGTAATACTGAAAGAGTTAACAGCTTAAATGCACCTCCACTGCACCCTCGGGGACAAGCTCCCTCAGCTAGGAAGGCTTCAGGCTTGGTTCTGAAGCTGTCTCCAGACACTTACTTTAATAAGATTGTTTACCAAGTAGTGTCATGCACAGCATCTCAGCCTGCTCTGGAAAACCCCAGGAGGCAAAAACCAAGGCTAGGGTGGGCTGGGTTAAGTCCCCAAAGGACGTAGTCAATGGCAAAAGGTGAAATGGGCTCCTTCCCAGAGCTTGCACTAACTGGGGAGGTGGGTTGGCATTTTATACAACCTGTTGCCTTGTCTTGGAATTCCAGTTCACTACCCACATGCGCAGGGGAGGGGGTCCCCCTGCAGGTGGGTCTGTGTAAGTACCATTCCTTCTGCTCTTTCTCCAGGGGTAGCTGGTATTTCCCCAGAGCCTCCTTCCAAGTCAGGAAGATGCCACAGTGCCTGACTTCTGAAGGTAAAAAAAGAGCAGACTCCAAAGAGAGGGAGAACTGTTCCATAGAAGATCTAAAAGAAATCATCACCCTGGCTTTTGTGAGAGAGAACACACAAAAGGGGTTTCAGGAGGCCCGTCAGCAAAGCAAGAAGAAGAGGAAGAAAAAGAGGTTAGGATTGGAAATTGGGAATGGGACTCCATGTTGGGAAGAACAGGAAGGACCTGGAGGGAAGGAGGCTTGATAGAGTAAAGGAAAATTGTGAAGCTGTCAAACCCACTCTGCTTTTCAGTTCACATAAAAAGAAGGCTCTTTTGATGGTTTGTTTTATAGAATCAAATAATCATGTATAAAACTGCACCTTGTCCTAATTTTCATTCTATTTATGTTTAGAATGCCTTTCAAAAAATGAGTAAAGAGAGAGAATTTCCTTGCATAAGTATAAGAAAGGGCTTATTTAGGGCTGGGGTTGTGGCTCAGTGGTAGAGTGCTTGCCTTGCCCATGTGAGCTTTGATCCTCAGCCCCACATAAAATAAAAATTAAAAAAGGTATTTTTTAAAAGTGCTTATTTGTTCTGAGAATTTAATACACTTTAAATATAATAGAACCATGCTATTGTATTAGGATCTGACTGTAGCTTGTGCATTCCAGTTCTTGTTTAATATTTTGCCAGGTCTTGCTCCATTCAGACTGATTAGTGTCTGAAAGATTGTCTGCTTTCTCACTGACAGCTTCCCTCCTGTGCAGAAGAAGAGAGAAGCAAGTATTTTGGCCAAAAATATTTTAAATTCCTGTTCCCGATGGACTACTGGAGTAAAAGGACTAAGAAAATGATGTTAATATGAAGCTGCATGCTAAATTAGCTATAATTGCAATATAGACTCTATATCCCATGGACAGGGTAACAGTACTGATTCCATGCTTTCTGCCACTCTGTACCCATTCATGTCCTCAGTGATGGGAATAGTTGAATCAGGCTTAATGTGATAGCTTAGGCTTCATGCAGCTCCACCTGGGACAGGATGTTTCTGGGTGCAGTCTGTCTCTGTCTTGTGCTTTCCTTTTTCTCTTTTCCAGATGATTGGTGATTAATCTATCCAGCTGCCGGTATGAGAGTGGTGAGCATTTCAATGCGAAGGATCGGGGACAAGGACCTACCATTTCCCCCTGTGACGTTGGGAAAGGTCACTCTTGATGTTGAGGGTATTCTTGAGAAAAAAGGGTGTTCTTCAAACCCCCTTCCTTGGTTCCTCTGGCTCCACAAACTATTTGAGAGAGTTGGGAATCTCATTCCAAGAATCATGGGTTTCGATCCCCGTGGCATATTTTTCAGCTATCTGTAATGCTTACAGTGACTGGGGCTGGGTGCTGTGGTGCATGCCTGTATGCCCATTGGCTCAGGAGGCTGAGGCGGGAGGATCACAAGTTCAAAGCCAGCCTCAGCAAAATCAAGGCACTAATCAACTCAATGAGACCCTGTCTACAAAATAGGGCTGGAGATGTGGCTCAGTGGTCAAATGCCCCTGAGCCCCTGAATTCAATCCCTGGTGCAAATATATATATGTATATATATATAGTGACTGAGGATCTCATTGTAGAAGAGGCAGCTGTTGCTGCAGTCAATGGCCCTGTTTTAGAACATATGTCACAATCCAGCAGTCTGAGGCTAACCCTGGTCTACAGACTTGCTTTGTGTTACAGAGCACAGTGTTGTTGCCTTTGTGTTTGAGTTCAAATTCTAATGTCCTGGCCTGCTCTTGTCCTCTCCTGGTTACTGCAGGTCCTCCTTCCTTCTTATGCCTAGGAAGGAAGGCATCTGGCCTGTGCTGAAATCAGTTTTTTAGCTATTAATACTAATATGGGGCAGGAAAGAAAGATGTGATAGTGGTATATATGGTTTTGAAATACATTGTCTAAATTTTTTTTTCCTGCCAATTTACCTCACTAGTTAAGATTAGCTCTGCTTGGTGTTAAGGATCAGTTTGTATTTTCTGAACACTCAGGGCTTGGTGTTTAGGAGAAAGCCAGAGGCTTGCTTCCTGGCAAGGGGAAGCCAAGGCGGGTCAAACATTTACCCCAGATAACTTTCTGTGGCAATCACTGCATACTGGCTGTGTTCTTCAACAGCTTCCAACTCTCCATGTTCCTTTCTTGGTAGTGGTACATCCAGACAGGGAAAGATGGCTTACAGTCCTAAGGAGCTGGGTCTCTTGTTCCAGTACTTGGGTCTGGAACTACCTAGAAAAGGAACCTCCCCATCCTTTGCTCCTCCTTTGCTTCCTGGGCGAACAGGACATTTCTTTCTTCAATTCCATTGCAGTGCGTAGGGTGGCCCAACAGTATGGCCTTCGAGAGGGAGGTGACAACGATGACTGGACTCTGTACTGGACGGACTACTCGGTATCACTGGAGAGGGTGATGGACATGAAGAGCTACCAGGTATTTTCCTCAATTTAAGTGTGACATCTGCCCAGTCCCCCCCCAACTCCCTTTTTGTGGTGCTGGGGATTGAACCCAGGGCCTTGTGCATGCGAGAAGCAGGCACTCTACCAACTGAACTATATCCCCATCCAGGGCCCCCATTTTTAATCACTGACGCTTGAGGGGAATCTCAGAGTGCTCCCATGTCCTCCCATTGTTCATGAATTACTGCTTCCCTCGTAGAAGATCAATCACTTCCCTGGGATGAGTGAAATCTGCCGCAAGGACTTGCTGGCTAGGAATATGAGCCGCATGTTAAAGATGTTCCCTAAAGATTTCCACTTTTTCCCTAGGACCTGGTGTCTTCCTGCTGAGTGAGTGAGCCCAGATTTCCTTCTCTTCCCCACCCCTATTTACATTTCCCTCCTGCCCTGATTCCCTGGTTGCTACTTTCCCTTCCCATAAGATCTCCCATCTCTCTCTATACTGTCCAGGAAGAGAAAGGATAAAGGGTGTGTCCAAGGTTGAGAACACACAGGACTCTGCCTATAAAATGAGATGACAATTAAGGGCCGGGTGCCTTGGAGCCTGTACCTGTAGTTGGATGAGAGTTTGTTCTGACCCTGAAGGATGTTGATCTTGAACTCCTTCCAACCATTTAACTGTTCTGTTTCTGAATTTTTTAGGACCAGGAGCTCCTCTGGAGATAGTGGGGTTGGGGTTGATTAGCACCCAGGGTAGGAGCAGGGAGGACTGCCTGCCTCTGTCCCATGTAGTGTCGGGCTGGACGGGCAGCCCTGTCCCTTTTTGCTCTCATTTTATCCATTTCAAAGCTGGACCTCCATTCCTGATAGGCAAAATGCTCTGGAGAAATCTGAGATGGCATGAGCACAAGCAGGGGTATAATCTGGTGGTTGAGACAAGGCAGGGGTAGTGTGACATGCCACCGTCTGTTTTTACACTCACATGGCAAGGGCAGAAGAGGAATCCCACTCTCCCCTCTCCTCCCAAGACTTCCTTAAACCAGGAGCTCCCAGCCTTTCCTCAGTCTGGAACAACTTCCAAGGTTTAGCAGCAACTTACGAGGAAATGTGCGCACTGTCCAGTTAACAGGAGCCTCCAGATTTCATGGCCACTGAGGAACATTGTGGCTAAGTGATTTTCCCAAGAATCACAAGGTTCTTTTGAGTTAAGATGAAAAACAAGAAATATAGCAAGACTGATATATATAATCCATTAATTTAGTTTCTTTCTTTTGAATATACTGTCTTAAAAGCACATTTAAAGGTTTTATTTGCCCTCCCATCCTCTGGCTGGGGGTGGCGACATCACAGATGAAACACTGAAGCCCAGAGAGGGTAAGAGACCTATTGATTCAATGTCACATCACTTGTCAGGGCTTGAGCCAGACTAAGAACTCCAAATCTCCTATCTGTAAATCCAGAATGCCAAACTGCCTGGGTCATGGCCACCTTCGTGGGGTGGATAGCACAGATCATCACTTTGCTGCATTATGTCATCTTAACTAACCACTGCATGAGATGGGTTTCATTATCCACATTTCCTAGATGATGAAATGTAGACTCCGAGAGGTCACGTCCTTGCGGGTACACAGCTGGTGGGTGGTGTTGCCTGGGCTTGAATCCAGACCTGAATTCCCTCCGAAGCCCACACACACACTCCACTTCATCAGTTCTATTATCTCTCTCGTTGCTGGCCTCTGGGCCTCTGTCTATCAATGCCAGGACTTTGTACTTCAGATACCTTTACTCTTCTGTTTTTTTGTTGGTTTGTTTTTTCATATGGAACTGGTCTTCCTTTTCATTATTCCCCAGCTAATGGTGTATCTTGTTCCTTCCCTGTCTGGTAGCTGGGGAGATTTGCAGACCTATAGCAGGTCAAGAAAAAATAAGACATACATTTGTAAGCCGGACTCAGGTTGCCAAGGGAGAGGTATATTCATCACCCGCACTGTGAAAGAAATCAAACCAGAGGAGGATATGATCTGTCAGCTCTATATTTCAAAGGTACTTCCTTATTGTGATTATTTATTTATTGCCCACAGCAGCCTCGGGATCTAGCTGCACTGGATACAATGTGAAATGAGTCAATGGGGGGTGGAAGTGTGGATGAAGCTGAGACTGTCTTCTATCTTGGCCTTTGTCAGACCGAATTTCCTGAGCAGAGGTGCTGCCATGTACACTTGTCTATTGGTCTGACCTCATCAGGCTAGCCCCTTTGCTCAAATAGATGAGAGCTGGGAGAACACCTTAGTTTGTGGATACCCTACCTTATTTGGGAGAAGGGAATCATCCTGGAGGGATTCATGGTAAACAGATTCCCTCCCTGAGTGCCACAGGTCACAGTATAATCTGCTGCAGGGAGGGAACCTTCTAGAAGTGTGAGAAGAGGGAGAAGCACTGCACCTCCCACCCAAGGCAAAATGACCAGGATTACTGGTTGCAGGAAATCTCTTACAGGACCACAAGTATAACGCAGCCCTGGATGAGAACCATATGTCCTTTCATCAAAGGACTTTTACTGTTACTTTATTTAGTTGCCAAGATATCTCTTGGTGGTAGTTGTTTGTGCCAATGAAGAAATCAGGAAATCAAGGCACAGTGTGGTTTGGTGACCTCTTCAAGGTCACAAGTCAAGCCACAAAACCCAAGTTCTCCTTATCCTGCTCCCCAGGCCTGGCCAAGCCTTCACTTGGCAACACTAGACAGTGTTGGACTGATTCCATCCATGAAAACAAGATGGGGGCTGGCAATTTTTGTATGAGCTTCTCCTCTGCTGCTTGTTTGACTTCTCTCTTCTCCTCCCAGCCCTTTATTATTGATGGGTTCAAGTTTGACCTACGGATTTATGTGCTGGTGACATCATGTGACCCTCTCAGGATTTTTGTGTACAAAGAAGGACTGGTCCGCTTTGCTACCACTTCTTACTCTTACCCCTGCACAGACAACCTGGTGAGCTGAGGGGACATGATGCCTCCCCCTCCTCCTTAGTATGATAAAAAGTCCTGCTTAAATACCCTTCCTTGAGACATCATGGATCTGGCTGTCATTTGCTGAGCACTACCTATATGCCAGGTTGCATATATTCTTTAGTCTGAGCCCTCCCAGGAACTCTCAGACATAGGAGTTATTATTCCATTTTACAGAGAGGGAGATTAAAACCCAGAGAGTAGAAGGGACTTGTCCAAGGTCACACAGCTAGCAAGAGGTGAGTCTGGGACTTGTGGCCAAGTCTGCCCGACTCCAACACCAGGTCCACAGTGCTCAGGAGTGAGCTATCCTGCAATCCCCCCACTCTAAGTCCCCTAGGACTCCTGAAGTTTCCCTCAGGCAAGGCAGCGCTCACTCTCAGGAGGAGCTAGAGTTTCTTATACTCCAGCTTATACAGGGTTAAGTTGCCCAGGCTCTAAGATTCCCCTTTTTACTGCCTTAATTTTGCCAGTTTAAGTACATCTTAAAACTTCCCTTTCTTTTCCATGCAGTTAATCCCCAGGGGCCATGGGAGGGCACAGAGAGAAAGCAAGAGGCCTTCATGTCAGCCTGACTCCACATCTTATGTTCTCTTTTCCCAGGATGATATTTGCATGCACCTGACTAATTATTCCATTAATAAGCACAGTTCCAACTTCATTCAAGATGCTTACTGTGGCAGCAAGAGGTAAAGGAGCAGTTTTTACTCTTCTTTCCAGGATTCTACTCAAACCCTGTCAGTCTCCGTCAGTGTTTCCATCTTGGGTCACGTGGTCTCAGAAGAGACTTTGCCTCTCAATCCAGAACTCATCTCAGCTCTCTGGACTGTTAATCATTAAAAGGAGGCCACATTGTAAACCCTAGGAGGCTGGGAGGAGGAGAGATAAACTTGAACCGTTTCCCCAGCAGAATACATACACACACTAAAACATAGCCTTGTTACAGTTGCCCTTCTGACATTTCCAAATCAACAGACATTTATTGATCACAAGTCTGCCATTTGAGAAGGATTTGCCAGGCTGTGGTTTCTTGGTCTTTGGTTCCCTGGGGTGTTGCTCCATTAGAGATTCTCAAGCTATGAGTCATAAGGATGCCCTGGTGCCACATGACGTGTGGCTAGCTGGCCCTTAAGATTCCCCAGAAGGGGGGACACGAAAGGAATTTATGAGTCTCATCATGAGCAGCTTTTCCATTTGTGTTTGAGTTTGAGCCCGAATAGCTCTCACTTGAGTTTTAAGAAAGAGGAAGGCCGAGGAACCTAGTTTGGCCAGGCAGAGGGCCAGGCAGTCTCATAGGGCCCCTGTGAGACTCAAATGACTCATTGGCAGTACAGTGTTCTGGTACTTCTGGTGGCCTCAGAGGTGCTGTGCCTGGCACCTGTGTGCAGTTTTCGTTCTTGAATTTTCACCACAATACAATGGCAAAGCCATTATCACCTGCTCTTTGTAGGTGGAGAGCCATGAGTTAGGTGCCATCTCCATTTTATAGATGAGGAAACTGAGTCTCTGCAGGGCTAAGTTGCCCAAGGTCATCCAGCTCTGAATGCTAGCATGGGACAAGAAGCTGGGCCTGTCATACTCTGAGGCTCACCGTCTTCCTACTGAACCAGGTCTCAAGGGACTGAGGAAAAGTCAATCCATTTGGTGTCAGAGCAGCAGAGAAATGTGTGGCATTTCAGCACACAGAAAATCTCTAGGCTACGCCTGCTGGAGGGGATGTGTCAGGCTGGGAGGAGGTAGTCTGCCCCTTTTCAGAGGACGTCAGCCCCTCTGTATTGCCTGTGTCCCCACCCAAACTTTGGGCGCCAGTGGTGCATGTGGAACGTCAACACTCAGGGAGGCCTGGCTTCTCATCCCTGCTCTGCTGCTTGCCAGCTGAGAAAGCTTGGACAAGGTACTTCATCTCTCTGAGCCTCCGTTTCTGGGTCTGTAAGATGAGGGCCATGAGAAAACCTGCCCTCTCCTGCCCACCTCGTGGGGCCTCTGTGAGACTCAGATGACTTGTTGGCAGTACAGTGCTCTGGTTACTGTTGTTTTTCTTTGGTCTCAAGGCCCTCATTTCCCTTTTATGAGAATTGATATCCCAATAACAGGCCTCAGGCCCTCAGGCCATGATGGAGGTGGTGTTGTTGGGCACAAAACTAAAGCAAGGGTGTGAAGATTTCCAGTATTATTCTCTTTTTTGCTTTCTTCCATTTATTTATTGGTGCTGGGATGGAACCCAGGACCTCATGCATACTCAGCAAGTGCTCTACCCACTAAGCTATACCCGCAACCCTCAAATATTCTTCTGCTGCCCTAGCTTCCCCCACTTCCTTTTCCTTCTCTTCACCTCTCTCTCGCACCCCTGTTCTCTGTGTGCCCTCTCTGTGGAGCAGTCTTCTGCCCCCATGGCCTGGGGGCTGTGCCCTCTCTTGGCTCAGCCCATCTCCTCAACAAGTGTGCCAGAGAGAGCTTGTTTCATAACAGAGCCACTCCCGTAATAATTGATGGATTGATCCATTCTCGAGGACAGAACCCTCATGACCCAATCACCTCTCAAGGCCTCGCTTCTCAAACTGCTATACGGGGGGCAAGTTTATGCACATGAACTTTTGGGGGACACAAACCACAGCATGTCCTGGTCTTTGGTGTGCTTTCCATTTGGCCAGGTAGAGGAGTTCTTTCATTCTCCCCTATTTTTTTGCTTTTTTTCTTCCTGTTCCTCCTTCCTATCTTCCATCCTTCTATCTTCCTTCCTTCCTTTTTTTCCATTTCTTTCTTTCCTTCTTTCATCCTGTCTTTCTCTCTTCCTCCCTCCCTCCCTTCCTGCCTCCCTTCTTCCTTCCCTTCCTTTCCTTTCCTCCTTCTCTGTCTGTCCCTCCCTCCTTTCTTTCTTTCTTTCTTTCTTTCAACCCAAGGGTCTCTACCACTGACCACATCCCAGCTCTTTTTATTTGTATTTTGAGACAGGCTTCAAATTTGCAATCCTCTTGCCTCAGCCTCCCACGTTGCTGGAATTACAGGCGTGCACCACCGCACCCAGTTCCTCCCCATCTTCTGGGAAAACCTATTCCTTATGCTGTTTCCCCTGCCCCAAAGTTGGCAGCTAAGGCCAACTGTTAAACCCTTTGGTTAGTCCCCCAAACTGGGGTGCAAACTCAACCAGAAAAGTGCTCCTCAGAGTGAAAGAGAAGACAGAACTTCAAACCTGGCAGCACTCTGGGGCAGACACCAGTTCTCTTCCTCTTCTGTGTGCTTGGCATATAGCTGTTGTTAAAGTGAGTTCACTAATTGCTGGCCCTCAAGAAATTGTACAATATTGTATATTGTGATAGAGCCTGAGTCATCAAAAGAAGGTTTTGTTATGTTCTGTAACGTCTGTTATAAGAAGTCAGGGAAGTACATGATCTGTTTCAGGAAAATTTACATCCCAGTTAGGCAAATTAAATACACTTTTTTTTTTCCACTTGAAAGGATTGACTTCAAATGATCTAGAAAATCCACTTACATGCACTCTGACAATGGCAGGTAGAGGAGGTGGTCTCTGTATTGAATGACCTTTCCTTTTCTGTCTTTATATAAATGCATCCTTAGTTGTTTTGTATGTGTGTTGATTTCCCAAATGGTGCCCAGGCCTCCCATGGCAGAGGTGGTGGTTCCTCTGTGTCTCCTCATTTCACCAAGCTTTGCATGCACAGCAGGCCCTTATCAGATGCTCATTGGCTGGTAGACCTGCTTCCTCCTTTTCTGACCACTTCACTTGGGCTCCAGCGAGCTTTTAGAACTGCCTGGGAGCCTTGTCTCTTGTCTTCGTTGTTCTCTTCTCAGGTTTCCATTCTCTTGCATCTTCTCCTGTATTTCCACTTCCACTTTGACTCTCTGGGGGACATTTGGTACATATGTGTGAGAGGTTGAGTGTCCACCCCCACCACTGCCTCTACGGTCTCTTAGATTCATCCTTTCTCTGAGCTGCCCAGCTTAGAGTTAATGGAGCATCTGTCCACTCAGATATTTCCTCATGGATGTCTCTGGTAGAGAGGCTCTTGATTTCCTCAGCAATTGGATCAACAGCCATACTGATCTGCCTCTGACTGAGGTTTCCTGGAATGTGGGGCTCTCTGTTCAAAAATAGGAACAGTTCAGTTTGCCTGCTATTGGTAACCTTGTCTGTGGAAATGTTGTGGGATTGTCTTTTTCCTGTGGGCAACCCTGAAACAAGATTTCTGTGTTTTCATTTTCCCCTCAGATGATTGAGGTAGAACCAAGGTACCAGTATTCTTAAAAGACTCCCCAAGTAGATAACACCAGAGGTAGAGAAACCATTGCTACGCAAGCACAACTATGATGTAGGGTGTTTTTTCTTTTTCTTTTTTTCTCATCCATTAACCATTTTTCCTCCCATACTGGGGATTGAACCCAGGGGCGATTAACCACTGATCCACATCGCTAGCCGTTTTAACTTTTTATTTTGAGATAGGGTCTCATTAGGTGGCTTAGAGCCTTGCTAAGTTGCTGAGGCTGGCCTCACACTGGCCTCAGCACCTCTGGAGGTGCTGGATTATAGGCATGTGCCACCTCACCTGGTTCCCATCCATTAATTTTTCCACCCAGATATCCCATCCTTTCCCCAGCTCACAGGTGTCTTCTAGGCCACAGTGAAAGTGCTCAGGTCATGTCTTACTTGACTATATACTTGTACCTACCCCAGGGCTCTGGACACCTGAGGGGTGTGGCCTATGACTCCTACAGGCTCCCTCCTAAGCTGACCCAGCCCTGTGGTCATGCTAGGTCCTGGGTGTTCATCCACACCAGCTCTAGAGCTTTATCTTCTCTAGAAGTTTCTGGTTTTCAGCATGCCATGGCCTTGAATGGCCAGAGGCCAGCTGCCCTGCCTGATGGCCTGTGGTTCCCTTCCAGGAAGCTCTCTACCTTCAACACGTACATGGAGAACCACGGCTTCAACGTGGGACAGATATGGAGGGCTATCGAGGATGTCATCATCAAGACAATCATCTCGGCTTACCCAGTCATCAAACATAACTACCACACCTGCTTCCCTGGCCACACACTTAACAGTGCCTGCTTTGAAATCCTGGGCTTCGACATCTTATTGGACCACAAACTCAAACCCTGGCTGCTGGAGGTAGGGAAGTTCAGGCGAGGGGTGAGAACTGTGCCCTGTTACTAGAGTCAGCCAGTTTCAGGGACCCTGCCTCCTGGCTCACCTGGATTGTTCTAATCAACTTCCCCTGCCACTTCCTCTCATGGTGCTTGCTGCCTGTGGGGCTTCCCTCTTAGCTGAGAAGTGGCCACCAGAGGGGGGTAGACAGCTGGGAATTAGAGAATTCCTTGTGTCTTCTTGAGGTCCAGCCAGACTCGCAAACAGACTTGCTGCTAATCTCAGACACAGAGTGATTCTAAAGATAATTCTACCTTTTGTAACAGAGTTCTCTTCCAGAAAGGCAGTGTTCTTCATCAAAGCTGGGTAGGTGATGCTAAGTATCAGATGGGAGCTGACTCCCTTGGCTTCTGGCAGATCTGCATGACTCAGATCTAAGCACCAGCAGAGCAAACTGGTGTCTGCTGCCCTAGGAATGGGTGGCAGAGACACTCAGTGAGTTTCCTGCCTCCATGGGGGTGGGTAGAAGGAGAAAGAGAATCTTTCCAAGTTGCTGTCTCTTTTCCTGGTTGGAGTGATGCTCAGGAACCTTCTCAAGTGTCCATTCAGCATGAATGATGAGGAGCAAAGTGTGTACATTAGGTGACATCCGAGGTGCTAGTGCCAGGTACTGATGCCAGAGTCATACTTTAGCGTGGAGAATTCAGAACTGCAGATTGGATTCCTGGGGATTTGCCTTCCTTCACCCTTGTTCTCAGGTGTGAGGGAAATAGAGAGACGGCCACTTAGAGCTCTTACCCCATGAACAGAATGAGCCAGCATGAGCAAGCCTTCAAAAACTGCTGGAAATTTACAAATGTCACCCAGTGCTTCTGAACAGGATGGACTTTGCTGTGGGCAGGAATAAGTTCTCCTTCTCCTCCCACCTGTTCTCCCCCTCAGCCTGATGAGGCTCCAGAAAGTGTTCCTCCTTTCTTTTTCCTACCTCCAAGCCAATCCTTCAGACCCCTCCTCTGTTCTGCTCTGTGTAACACACATGGTGCATGTAAGAGAACACACATCAGATGGGGGGAAACCAAAGAGGGGGCACACCTCACGCTTCCAGAGGAGAGAGGACCAAGATGAAACAGGCTAACCCAGAGGGAGTTCTGCTTTCTGCTTTCTTTACTGTGTCTCAGGGACAGACTGTTTGTCACCTCTGGGTGGTCTGGGCAGCCAGGGCCCTGAGGTGGATGTTGGCAGCATCTGGAGGTAGCATCTGCTTTACCCCTCACTTTTACCCTGGACGGCCCTGTCCCCAGCTGTCATCTTGCCCTCACAGGTCAACCACTCTCCAAGCTTCTCTACTGACTCCCGGTTGGATAAAGATGTGAAAGACAGTCTGCTGTATGACACCCTGGTACTGATCAATCTGGAAAGTTGTGACAAAAAGAAAGTCTTGGAGGAGGAGAGAAAGCGGGGGCAGTTCCTGCAGCAGTGTCCCTCCCGGGAGGTCAGGTACAGCAGCACCCTCTGGCCCCAGGGCCCTCATTCTCTCACTTCCCTGCTCCCAGGGAGACTAGCTGTCTTGGTCAAAGTTACAACTCAACATCCTGCTAGTTATGTGGCCTTTCATCACTTCTGTGAGCCTCAGTGATCTTTCTGTGAAATGGAGCTAGTGACACATAATTACTTTTTTCCAGTACTAGGAATTTAACCCAGGGGTACCATTGAGCCACATCCCCAGCCCTTTTTATTTTGAGACAGAGTCTCACTTTCTCAGGTTGGCCTCAAACTTGCAATCCTCCTGCCTCAGTTTCCTCACTAACTGGGATTACAGGTGGGCACCACCACACTCAGCCTGTTAGGAGAATTAAATAAGATCATTCATATAGAGTCTTAGTATATTGCCCAGCACCATAACTTTTTAGAGGCTATCAAAAATTTTGCCTGTGAGGTGGAGTGAGGATCAATGGTTGCAAGTAAAAAAGAAAAAAGATAGAAAAGAAAAATTTAAAAATAGAAGAATCTTGCCTGGAGTTGGGGGGTGGATTATTTCTAGCAAACTATGATCCTATTTAGAAAGTGATAGTTTTTTGTGGGGTTTTTTTTTGTTTTTTGTTTTTTTTTGGTACCAGGGTTTGAACCCAGGGGTGCTTAACCACTGAGTCACATCCCCAGCACTTTTTCACATTTTTTTTTTTTTTTTGAGACAGAATCTCACTAAGTTACTTAGAGCCTTGCTAAAATGCTGAGGCTGGCTTTGAACTTGTGATCTTCCTGCCTCAGCCTCCTGTGCTGTTGGAATTACAGGTGTGCACCACCATGCCTGGCTGGAATGTGAGTTTTTAGTTGCAGAATATAGTAATTCAAACAGTTGGATTATGGATAATTTTTGTTCTTAGAAATAGGAGATTAAGTTATACACATGTAACTATATATATAATGGATATGAATTGATTAATATGTGAAGATTTAAGAATTACCAATATAAAAAAATAAAATCAATATTTTATTTTTACTAAAATGAAAAATTCGTCAGTCCTTTCCCATGTTACTATGTTGGCAGGAGCCAATGTCTGAAGGGCGTCATTTGCATTGTCACTGGAGCCTTCATTCTGCATAGTGGTTCTAGTATCTTAAGACTCTGGGCCTGGTCAAGGAGGTGCCCTGGTTGCTTTTCAGATCCCACTAAGGACCCTCCCCCACCTCTGCCTATTTTCCTTTCCAGAAACAGAGCCAATCAAATCCTTTGGGACCGAGCTTCTGGAACAGGGGCAATGTGTTGTACTAGTGTCCAGATGGCACTGTGTTTCTCTGGCACTTTCATGTGTACTGTCTCCCCTGCAGGGAGGAAGGTAGAATGGAGTGTGGTGTGGTGCTGTTCTTGAAGCAGAGGAAACCAAGACTCCAGAAGGGGAACTGACTTTCATGAGATCACCTTACTGGTGACTGCTCTGGACCCAGAGCCCAGTGGGTGTGCCAGCTTGGGTGCCAGAATACCTTTCCACTGTACTGCTGTCTCAACTCTTTGAGGAGGAGACCACATCACCCCATCACACCCATCACACCCATCACACCGAGGGTCTCCTCTGCATCTGTCTCCCTTCATTACTTTGTCCTGGATCTCTCAGTGTCTCTTGGTTCCCCTTCTGTAGAGGGGGCTTATCATGCCTCCCTACCTGACCTCCATTTCCCCAAGGGGCTATGAGGAAGAATGAGATCATTACAGCTCATAAAGCTCATTAAGCTCATCCAAGAAGCCCTCAAATTTAGCAGAACACAAGCTGCCATTCTCCAGAGAAGAGTAATAAGGGTAATGAATGGGAAGGTGGCGACAGTCTGCCTGGTCAGACTAAGCCAAGGGGGAAATGGGTTTTACTCGTAAGGGGAGAGAATTTGGTGAGCTGTCAGAAAGGCTCTTCCAACCAGCTCTTAGTGAATTGTGACACTGGTTGTCCCAGGAGGGCTAGAATCTCCTTTCCAGGAAACATTTTTGCTTTTATTTAACAAATACTGTTTAACCACTATTATGTGAAAGGCCTCCCTCTGGCCCTAGATGACATCCAGCTTGGGCATGTCCCTTCCAAAAAAACTGTATCCCTGTGTTCTGAATCCCAACAGGATTGAGGAAGCCAAGGGTTTCCAAGCAGTGCAGTTACAGAAAACAGAGAAATATGAGAAGGAAAATTGTGGCGGGTTCCGGCTGATTTATCCCACTCTGAATTTGGAGAAGTATGACAAGTTTTTCCAGCACAATTGCTCCCTCTTCCAGAATACTGCTGCTTCCAGGGCTCGGGAGTTATATGCCCGGTAGGAAGGCTCCCAGGATGAGGTGGCGGTGTGTTCTGGGGATTGTGCTTGACCTGCTGGGTAGCTGTCCTGGGGTGGCAGGGAAAGTCCCTGAGCTTTAATTCCCAACCTTGAAGTTGCTTGGGGAACATTTGCTGTGGTCTCACAAGGGCCATAAATTGGAAGATTTCCTAGTGTGGGGTATTAAGTAGATAAGTAGATAGGTGACTGACCATAGAGAAACTGACCATAGAGACAGACGCCCTCACCCCATTCCAGGATGCACACCTCCTCAGATTCACGCAGGTATAAAATCTAAGGGCTGGAAGGGAATTGTCCCATTAAATCTAGTCCCCACCAACTATCTCATTTTACGGAAGGGGAAATTGGATCAGAGAGGATATTATATAACAAGATAATATCAGGAGAGGGATTAGAACTCCCAGTCACCTGACTCACAAGACCATATTATTTCCACTATATTGTGTCACCTTAAGAGCACTCTCCTGATCTATTGGCCAAAGAGCTCATCATATGAAATGGTCCCACTGGGAGCCCCTGGCTGTAGTCTCCCACCCAGATCCTCTTCCAGCACCTGCCATGGATGCAGATGGTCTACTGGGAAGTAGGGAGGAGATGGGGTTGCGATGGAATAGAACATAGCTCTTTTTACTGCACATTTCTATTTGAAATGATGCCATTCCCTGGATGATTAAAGGGATGACTTCTTTCTTACCACCTTGATTTCTGACCTTCAATCACTTGTGCAGACTGGACACACTGGGGGAGGGAAGTGGGGGCACTCTGCCTCTCCATTTTAACTTGTCTATCGCCCAAGGAGGATGCCCACCTTCACCACCTGTCCCTAACCTCCATGACAATCACTTGTTCCTCATTGGGCAGGCAACTGATCCAGGAGCTGAGACTGAAACAGGAGAAGCAATCCTTCCAAATGAAAGAGAAGAAGGTGGAGATGCAGGGAGAGTCAGAGATAGCCGGCGAGAAAGCAAGGGGCAAGAGCACCAAGAACCAGCAGAAAAAACAACAGAAACGCAAGACCACCGCCCACAGCCCCAAACAAGTAAACCCAGATGGGAGGGGAATGTGCATACCTGGCACCCTTCCCAGGCTGGGGCCAGTCTCTCTGGGGTTGCCACGGAGACCACTACTCCGAGCCCAGACATACTGACAGGCTACTTGGAGGGCTGGGCCACAGGAAGGGAACTGTGGCAGCCACACAGAGCTGAGTGTCCATCAGAGCATCACTTCATTCAGGCAGCAGAGGATTCTCACTCATCTGTCCTTTTTATCTTCTTAGAAATAAGAGCAGGCAGGCTGTGCTGGGAGACTGGGCATGATATCATATAGAGAGCAGTTTCCAGGACCCACATCCTCAACTCCAGCTGGGGTGGGAATGCCCTAATTCAGTGGGCCACTGGGAGAGCTTCTGGAAGGCAGAATCCTCAGAACATTAACAGGGATGACTGGTCATGGTGGGGTCCTTCCTGTTGTCTGCATGGGTTGGCCCAACCTCCAGGCTTGTTGGTAGCTGCCCTCTTGTCCTGTGATCTAAGTTTCTGGCTTCTGGTTTCTCTGCCTAGTGCTTTCTTCTAGCTCACTGGATAGATGACTTTTCAGTCCACCTTAGTTGACTGTCAGCCCATCTGCTTCATCTTAAAGACTTACTTGGAAGGACAGAATTAGAGCAGTTTTTTTTTTTTTTTTAAACTTTAAGGTTCCAGACCTGTTGAGAATCTGATAAAAGCTCTGGAATCTCTTGTGGTAAAATATACAATGCACTATTTTAAAACTGGTTTCAAGTGGCTCAAAGATACCCTAAAGTCATCCATGGGCCCTCTAAGGAGTCCCAGAACCCCAGGTCTAAGATCCTCATATTAGAGAGACTTTGATGCCAACCGCTTTTCCTTCTCCTTATCTCCTTTGCACCTACCCTTGGGTGCAGACAAATCTGGAAGTGGCCAGAGCTGAGTTCCCACTGGCTATGTGTTTGGTTTCCTCCTTCCCAGTACTTCCGGCCATTGGCATTAGTGTCCTGCACACCTGAGTTGCTCTTAAGTGTCAAAGACGTAAAGAAGAATGAAATAGGCAGTAGCCTTGACCAGGAGGCCGCAAAGAAGAAGACTGATTCTGCTCCCTGCAAGCCTATCTCTGCAAGACACTGCAGATCTGTACCTGACATGAGGCGGTTAAGACTCAATTCCTCTGGGTTACAGTGCTGTGAAACCAATTCCAGAATCAAGATGGCCAAGTCAGTCAATGAAGTGAACATATTTTCTAGTACCATGGTAAGTAGAGGGCCAAGTTCTAGGAGGAAACTCTTAAAGTTTTGCTTTCTGGTCCTTTCTTTCCCCTGACATGTTATGGCCCTTTGAGTAAGCCATTAGCTCTCTCTGGGCCTCAGTTTTCCCAACTTGTGAAGACCATATTGTGCCATGGCACACTTGCTGGGAGGATGGGCCTGGGATGGCTTTTAAGGAGGGTCACTCTGTGTACTCCTGTTCTTAGCAGGTTACCACCTGTACTAGTTTTCTTGGGTGCTGTGGCAAATTGCTACAAACCTGGTGGCTTAAAACTGCATGATTTCTTCTCATAGAAGAATAACCTCTCTCTCTTTTTTTTTTTTTTAAAGTAAGGAAATGACTCTGAGAGTCTTTTTTTTTTTTTTTTTGAGAGAGAGAGAGAGAGAGAATTTTAATATTTATTTTTCAGTTTTTGGCGGACACAACATCATTGTTTGTATGTGGTGCTGAGGATCGAACCCGGGCCGCACGCATGCCAAGCGAGCACGCTACCGCTTGAGCCACATCCCCAGCCCAGAATAACCTCTCTCTATTCCTGCAGAAACCAAGGTGTCTGAAGGATAGGTTCCATCTGAAGGCTCAAGAGAGAGGTTGCTTCTTTGTTAGATTCTGTTGGTATACTAAGTTGCCTCAAACTTCCAAGTCACTGGGATTATGGGCATTCACCATCATACATGTACCTTTTGAAAAAAATAAATACTCTTATACTCCCATTGTAGGCTTAAATTATTTTTACACATGAGGTGTGGCATGCACCTATAGTCCTAGCTACTTGCTGGAAATTGTTGGTTTGTGGTAGCATAACTCTCTGCTGTTGTCACATGTCTTTTTCCTATATATCTAAACATGGCCCTCTTTATTTTTTTTTCGTTTGTACTGGGAATTGAACCCAGGCATGCTTTACAACTGAACTACATCCCCAGCCCTTTCTAGTTTTTAGAAACAGGGTCTCGCCAAGTTGCTGAGGCTGGCCTCAAACTTGGAATTCTCCTGCCTCAGCCTCCTTAGTCTCTGGGATTACAGGGATGCGTCACCATACCTGGCTGTACTTGATTTTCTTTAAGGACACCAGTCACTGGATTTAGGGCTCCCCTAATCCAGTATGACCTCATTTTAACTTAACTATATCTGTAACGATTCTATTTTCAAATAAGATCACATTCTGAGGCTCTAGGTGAAATGAAGTTTGGTGGACACTTTTCAATTTAGTATACCACCTAAACAGTGTTTCTCAAATTCGATCAATGTATGGACACTTGTGTGTGTGTGTGTGGTGCTGATGAGCTACATCTCTGGTCCTTTTATTTTTTAGGACAGGGTCTCATTGAATTGCTCAAGCTGGCCTCAAACTTGCAATCCTCCTGCCTCAAACTTCCAAGTCACTGGGATTACGGATATTCACCACCATACCTGGCTACATGGACCTTTTGAAAAAAATAAATACTCTTATACCCCATTGTAATCTTAAATTATTTTTACACATGAGGCATGGCATGCACCTATAGTCCTAGCTACTCAGGAGGTTAAGGCAAGAGGATTGCTTGGGCCCAGGAGTTCAGGATCAGCTTGATCCATCCAAAAAAAGTTATTTCTATAAACACAGGCAAGCAAAAAACTATGAATAAAATTTTTATACAATCATCTTTCTGTATTCACATGTTTTGCTTCCATAGATTGAACCAACTGCAAATCAAAAGAAAAAAATTTAATTGCATCTGTACTCAACATGCATATTTTTTCTTGTCATTATTTCTTTTTTTAATATTTATTTTTTATTTGTTGTCGGACACGATACCTTTATTTTATTTATTTATTTTTATGTGGTGCTGAGGCTCGAACCCAGGGGCTGAGCCACAACCCTAGCCCCTTGTCATTATTTCTTAAACAGTACAGTGTAATAACTATTTATGTAGCATTTCCATTGTATTAGGTATTATAAGTAATCTCGAGATGATTTAAAGTATATGGGAGGATGCATGTAAGTTATATACAAATTCAACTTCTATTTATTTATTGCTATTCTGGGATTGAACCCAGGGGCACTCTACTACTGAGCTACATCCTGACTCTATTTATGTATTCATTTGCAGTACTGGGGATTAAACTCAAGGGCACTTTACCATTGGGCTACATCCCCAGCCTTTTTTTATTTTATTTTGAGACAAGTTCTCACTAAGTTTTCCAGGCTCGTCTCAAACTTGCAATCCTCCTTCCTCAGCCTTCTGAGTAGCTGGGGCTACAGGCATGTGCTACTGTGCCCAACTATTTCATTTTATGTAAGAGACTTAAGCATACGTGGATTTTGGTATCCATAGGGGGTCCTAGAACCAATTCTTCTAGGATTAGAAAGGATGAGTGCACTTACAGATCTTCTGCAATAACAGAAGGAAGCTGAAATAATAGCATCAATATAATTCAAATAAAAATATTAATTTAAGGGCTGGGGATATGGCTCAAGCGGTAACTTACGCACTCCCCTGGCATGCGCGGGGCGCTGGGTTCAATCCTCAGCACCACATAAAATAAAATAAAGATGTTGTGTCCACTGAAAACTGAAAAATAAATATTAAAAAAATTCTCTCTCTCCTCTCTCTCTCCTCTCTCTCTCTCTCTCGCTTTAAAAAATATTAATTTAATGTAGCAGTTGCTTTTCTAGTTTTGCAGAAACAAAGTTGCCACATGATGTGGTCCCTGCCACTCTAGTACAGGTCCCTTTGTATTTATTACACTGAGGCCCACTGAGGGCCATGTAATGGCTTGACTGTAACTATTAGAATATAGACAGATAGCAGTGTTGGGACTTTGTTTGGTCCAAGTGCTGTAGAAAGTAGTTCAATATTTTTCAAAATTTTAAACCATAACCCACAGTAAGAAATCTATTTTATTTTACAACCCATCACATATACACACACTGGGGGAAAAAAAAACTTTCCAAAACAATGTTTATCCATACTACATATGGTGTAACACATTAGATATTTTCTATTCTGTTGTATTCTATTCTTTTAAAACATACCAATTGTAGTTCACTAAATTAATTTCATGATCTACAAATTGGTTTATAACCCATAATTTGAAAAGCATGTTTAAGAGAATATGCTTTGGAGCATTACAACACTGAATTTGGCAATGATTTCTTGGGTACAACAACAAAAGCCCAAAGAAACAAAAGCAAAATTAGGCAAGACTACATCAAACTTAAACCTTCTGCACAGCAAAGGCAACAATCAACAGAAAGAAAAGGTAGCCTATTAAATGGGAGAAAATATTTGCAAACCACATATCTGATAAGGAGTTTGTCTTAGTCTGTTTGGGCTGCTGGAACAAAACGCATCAGACTGAGTAGCTTATAAACAAAGAAATTTATTTCTCAGAGTTCTGGAAACTGAGAAACCCAAAACTCAAGGTGCAGGCAGATTTGATGTCTTTCAATGCCCCCCCCCCTTTTTTAACAGAAGGCATGTTTCCATTGTGTCCTTCTGTGGTTGAAAGAGCTAGCTAATTCTCTTGGCCTTATTTATAAGGCTCATGAAGGCTCTGATATGAATTTGGGGATATGCATACGATAAAAGTCAGACGATAAAACTCAACAACAAAAAACAGCTGAATTGAAAAATGGGCATGAGCTAGGTGTGCAAGTCAGTGGTAGAGCGCTTGACGAGCACGTGTTAGGCCCTGGGTTCTATCCCCAGAACCCCCACCCCTAAAAAAAGCAAAGGGCTTGAATGAACATTTCTGTAAAGAAGATGGCCAATAAACATATGAAAACATATTCAACATCGCTAATCATCAGGGAAATGCATATCAAACCCACAAAATATCTCTTCATCACTTCATATATGTTTGTTAAGCTGGTCACTATAAAATAAAAAAGAGGAGTCTAGTTCTTTGGTGGTGTTTTAAAAAAATTATTCATTCTAATTTGTTATATGTGACAGCAGAATACATTTCAATTCGTAGTACACATATAGAGCACAATTTTTCACGTCTCTGGTTGTACACAAAGTAAAGTCATACCATTCATGTCTTCATACATGTACTTAGGATAATGATGTCCACCTCATTCCACCATCTTTCTCACCCCCATGCCCCCTCTCTTCCCCCCATGCTCTCTCTCTTTCCCTCACTCCCCTTTGCCCTATCCAAAGTTCCTCTGTTTCTTCCATGCTCCCTCCACCATCCCCATTATGGATCAGCATCTGCATATCAGAGAAAACATTTGGCATTTGTTTTTTTGGGATTGGCTTACTTCACTAAGCATATTCTCCAACTCCATCCATTTACCTGCAAATGCCATGATTTGATTCTCTTTTAATGCGGAGTAGTATTCCACTGAGTACATATACCACATTTTCTTTATCCATTCATCTACCAAAGGGCATCTAGGTTGGCTCCACAATTTAGCTATTGTGAATTTTGCTGCTATAAACATTGCTGTATAGACCGAGGAGTGAGATAGCTGGGTCAAATGGTGGTTCCAAGTTTTCCAAGGAATCTCCATTTTTAGATTGGCCGCACCAATTTGTAGTCCCACCAGTAATGTGTGTCTTTCCCCCACATCCTCGCCAACACTTATTGTCATTTGTATTCTTGATAGCTGCCATTCTGACTTGGAATGAGATGAAATTTTAGAGTAGTTTTTTTTAATATTTATTTTTTGTAATTGTAGTTGGACACAATACCTTTATTTTATTTATTTATCCATTTATTTATTTATTTATTTATGTTTATGTGGTGCTCCCAGGGCCTTGCATGTGCGAGGCGAGCGCTCTACTGCTGAGCCAGTTCCTTAGAGTAGTTTTGATTTGTATTTCTCTAATTGCTAGAGATGTTGAGCATTTTTTCATATGCTTGTTGATTGATTGTATATCATCTTCTGAGAAGTGTCTGTTCAGTTCCTTGGCCCATTTATTTATTGGATTATTTGTGTTTTTGGTGTTAAGATTTTTGAGTTCTTTATATATCCTAGAGATTAGTGCTCTGTG